GCCAGAGACCATGCTAGGTACAGCATTCACTAGCATTCATATGCATCATAAACATAGGCGGGAGTGGGGAGGATTTGAAACCGATATCCCATGGCTATGGGGTTCCTTCTGTATTATGAACCCTAATAAAGACAAACACTTATGTCCTCGATCAAATCAAAAGGGTGTCCAGTTGCTGATGTTCAAGATCTGAAAGCGTGAAGCTCAACAACTGGACTTTGGAATGGGAGAAACAAGAACAAAGGTAGATTGGAAATCACAAAACGAAGAGCAGGTGAACGTGCAACGATTCGTGTGAATGAACTGAAGGCGACAGAAACAGGACATTTTTTTGCCATACTCACTTCAGAAACAACAATCTCACAAGAAATGGTGGGGGCCTGACAGCAAGGCTTGAAGTAGCACGAACAAGTAGGGTCTATATTTGAAAGGCTTAGGGAACAACAATCAACAATAAATTGGCAGGCTACCAAACTCATCCATTATTCAAGTTTATTCACAAACTATCACTGTGGAAGGATTTTAAAAAATGTAAAGTTTTTATTAAGGTCTCCAGGAAGAAACGGATCGTTAGGGGTTTCCCTTCCTTCTAAATCCCAGAATCCTCCAAGGATACCCTGAGACACTCTGCAAGGATACTCTGCAAGCGGGATCTGAAGGCCTTAGGAATGAACCTCAACAGATGGGAAACCCTGACATCTGAGCATTCAGCGTAGAGCGTTGCATCACGGCCTCTCCCATTTTGAAGAGACCCTTGTCCAGCAGGCCGAGGCGAAAAGGCAGTCACGAAAGCAGCAAAATCAGGGAGCTGGACAGGGGACAGATTGCATTTGTCTTCAGTGTCGAAGGGATTGTCCCTCTCGAATTGGCCTTCTCAGCCACACTAGATGCTGTTCCAAGTCCTCCATACAGAGCACGTTACCATAGTCTCTCGAGACTGAAGGGTGCCTAATCTGGAATCTGACCCTGAGAGAGAATTGTGAGGGTTCCAGCCCACAGACTCACACTTAAAGATATCAACATTTCACTCACCTGGACCAAGGCCTATCTCCGAGGTTACATGGCTCTCTCGGACGTTACTTCCTGTTAATGTACAAAAAAAGGAAGCGGGCGCTCTGTTCCCTGGGAGTTGTAGCATCGCTGCCCTTTATGTTCTCGGTGCTGTGCTTTCTTAAGAGCTACAATACACAATTTCCTCATTCTGGTCAGTGGTTTGTAAAATAAACCAGGCTAATGAGATCTCTCCTGGCTGCTGTCTACTTTTCCTATTAACTGGTGTTCTCAAAATGGAACCATACAACCCAACAATATTTATTTGTTTTTGGTCTTACTGCAAGACTGTTGATCACCGCTATCTGCCTTCATATCAGGAAGGAGTCTTCCTCAGCAAAGACTTTAAAACTGAAGGGAAGCTGGAGATGCTAGTGCTGCTGTTTGTGTGTGATTGTGTGTGTGTGTGTATGTGCCAAATGCTCCATGGGGCCCGACACATAAGCAGGAAGTTGAAGCACTCCTACTGCATTTGTGCGGCAGTAGATACATGCAGGAGGAGCCCCATATCTTCAGGGATCAGTTCCAAGGTCCCCTGCAGGAGCTAAAATATGGATTATATAGAGTGCTCAAACTGAGTCTTTCATAGTACTTTAAAGGCAAAGTCCCTCTTCCCTAGGAGGTTTTGGCTGGGGATGAAGGCCAGATATGTTTTCCATGGGTATTTTGCTGAGGCATTTGTTTTGTGGGCCTTATCTTTGTTCTCCCTCATCACATGGCCCAAGAGGGAGGGCCTAATGGTTTGAATTGGGATATGGTAAATAGGAATGGCCTGAGGGAGGGCAGAGTTTCAGCTTTAAAGGAGGATGAGCAGGAGAGTGTGTCTAATGGCACGTGAAATTCACTAATCCTATTTTTTACCCTAATTTGGTAAATAGGAAAGCCAATTAACATTGCATACACCTGGGGGGAGTATACTTTTAAAGGTCAGATGATACTTCCACACTATTAGAGAGCAGGCCGAGTAGGTGGGGCCCATCTAGGAGAACTCTGATTTTAAACCTCCACTGCCTTGTGGCTATATCCACTTATGGAAAAGGCTTCAGGAGATAACCTCAAGGTAAATTCTGGAGCCAGAGTCCCGGAGGCATTTGTGTCGTTCTTCCAACTCCTGCCAGAGTCCCGGAGGCAGTTTGTGTCGTTCTTCCAACTCCTGTGACGTCACCGGAAACAGTCGTATTGGCTCTTGCCATTCCATTGGACTATTTCAGTGAAGTGGAGGGGGGGATTTGCTGCTTGGGTAACAGCCTATCCTCCATAGTATTTTACCCAGGCTTCGTGCTCAGGAGAGGACACTCCAGCTTTGCATATAGCGTCAAAACAACACGGGAATAAGCAGTTACCAGTTATAAGTCTTTGCTGAATTGGCGTAGAGCATCACGCCAGGGGCTACTTCTGACGGTGGGAGAGGTCATTGCACCTCACTAAGTAGATCCCGCACGCCTTAAGCTGGGCAGCCCCCAGCCAGTAAGATGCTACCTCGCCACGGTCTGTTAACTTCATGGGGCGCGTGAGGTTTAGGTGAAATCCGACAAGCAGATCGATAACCGTGCACCATGCAACAATCGTAAGAAAACGTCTACCCTAAAGCTGGGCACCTGGACTGTATGGACAATAACTCCTGGCTTTTCTGACTACGGCTTTCCGGTCACTCTCGAATTGGCCTTCTCAGCCACACTAGACGCTGCTCCAAGTCCTCTATTCAGAGCACGTTACCCTAGTCTCTCAAGACTGAAGGATGCCTACTACTAGGTCTTTTCCAAAGAAGCTTTCCTTCTCATGTCCAAACTAGGACCGCTTCAACATTTTTGCTTCTAGATATAGTGTTCAGGTTTGATTTGATCTAGGACTTACTTGTGCTTCTTCCTGGCAGTCAAGGGTATCAAGAAAGGTTTCTGCCCTAGGAAGATGCAAATCTTGCCTAAATGTTGACTTATAAGAAAACTTTTCCTCACACTACAAATATTGTTATGCTCTTCATGCCACATGAACCTTCTTCCGCAATATTCTAGGGACGGATTAGCAAAATGTTTTCAGCAACGAATGAATATGCTCTTCATGCCACATGAACCTTCTTCTGCAATATCCTAGGGACGGATTAGAAAAATGTTTTCAGCAACGAATGAATTCTCCTTGTCTGCTCTGTGTACTTATTGGAGGATCTCATAAGGTTTTAATTCTCTGTGAAATATTTCCGCCCTCATCATGATGGAGGCAGTTTGCTCGTGTGTAGATATTCTTCTTATGTCACAGATTCTGTTTGCAAACCAAACACTTCCCGCCTTTCAGACCTTTCTCTGCTTTCTATCAGGTGTGAGTTCTGTGATGCCTCAAAAGGGTTGAGTTGCGAGTGTAGGATTTCCCACACTCCTCACATTTGTAGGGTTTCTCTCCAGTGTGGACTCGCTGATGATTTCTAAGGTAGGAACTGTGAGCATAACATTTCCCACACTCCTCACATTTGTATGGTTTATTCCTTATATGTACTCTCTGATGAAAAACAAGATGTGAATTCTGAGAAAAGCGTTTTCCACACTTCTGGCATTTGTAGGGTTTCTCTCCTGTGTGGACTCGCTGGTGGCTCAGAAGATTTGAATTTTGAGAAAAACATTTCCCACACTCTTTGCACTTGTAAGGTTTCTCTCCTGTGTGGATTCTCTGATGATTCACAAAGTACGAACTACCAGCAAAACATTTCCCACACTCCTGGCACTTGTAGGGTTTCTCTCCTGTGTGGATTCGCTGGTGGATGAGAAGGTTTGAATTCTGAGAAAAACATTTCCCACACTCCTGGCATCTGTAAGGCTTCTCTCCCGTGTGCACTTTCTGATGATCCATAAGCTGTGAATTATAAGCAAAACACTTCCCACACTCCAGGCATTTGTAGGGTTTCTCTCCTGCATGGACCTTCTGGTGGATCAGAAGGCTAGACTTCTGAGAAAAATATTTCCGACACTCATGGCATTTGTAGGGTTTCCCTCCTGTGTGGACTCTCTGATGAGTCACAAGGACAGACTTTTGAGCAAAACTTTTCCCACACTCCTGGCACTTGTAGGGTTTCTCCCCTGTATGGACTCTCTGGTGCTTCATAAGGTCTGCCATACAACGAAAGCATTTCCCACACGCCTGGCATCTGCATGGTTTCTCTCCTGTGTGAATTCTTCGATGCGTCACGAGCTGTGAACTGTAAGCAAAACGTTTCTCACATTCTTGACAGCTATACGGTTTCTCCCCGGTGTGGATTCTCTCGTGAAGTACAAGGTTTGAATAATAAGCAAAGCACTTCCCACAATCGTAACATTTGTACGGTTTATCTCCTGTGTGGATCTTCTGGTGGGTCAGAAGGTTTGAATTCTGGGAAAAACACTTCCCACAGGCCTGACATCGGTACGGCTTCTCTCCTGAGTGGACTCTCTGATGATTCAGGAGAGAAGAACTGAGAGCAAAACATTTCCCGCACTCTTGGCATCTGTACGGTTTTTCTCCTGTGTGAATCTTGCGGTGGATCAGGATGCTTGAACTCCATGCAAAACGCTTCCCACACTCCTGGCATTTGTACGGTTTCTCTCCAGTGTGGACTCTCTGGTGGATCAGAACATGTGCATTGCAAGCAAAACTTTTCCCACACTCTTTGCATTGGTAGGGTTTCCGCCCAGGATGGATTCTTCGCTGCCGCAGAAGGTGGGACAAGCAATGGAAACGTTTCCCAGACCCATCACTTCGAAGGGGTTTCTTTCCAGTGTGGGTCCTGCTGTGAAGCGTCAGTGTGACCTTTGCGCGAAAAAATTTCCCACACACAGCACATGGGTAGGGCTTCTCCATGGGGGAATTTCCCTCTTCTGTATGTGCTCTCTGGTGTCCAGGAAACTTTAATTTATGTGTTAAATGCTTTCCCTTTGGGATACTTGCAGTTCTCTTCCTCCGTTTCTCTGTTGAGAAGAAAGACAAGCACAGACAATATTTAAATGAAGGGACAAAAGTGTCCCACAAAAGTATCTCAGAAAACAAGGAGAAACTGCATCTTTTTTTGCCTTCCTTCATGGGCAACCTGGTGCCTCCATTACACTCCTCCGGGTGCCGATGAAGGGTTTCTGATTTTATATGGGCATTTTAAGAACCGTACTTAGTGCTTTTTAATCTTATCACGTCTGGTTTCATTTTAGCTTAGCATGCTCGCAGACCATTTTATGATGATTTTATTGCTGTAGAGTTTTTATTTTCTGCTGTAGGGTTCATCTTAGGCTTGTTTTTAAGTCAGTTTATTAATTTTTTTTATCTTTTTAGCTCGTTCTAATCTGTGGCTTCCCAGACCTTCTTGGACTATAACTCCTAGAAAATCCTGGTGAAGGTGAAGGCTTCTTGGAGTTGTAGTCCAAGAGCCTCTGGGGACCCAAGGTTGGGAACCACTGCACGCATAAATGCTGCTCACATGATCTCAGTTAATAATGGAGGTGGGACTAAATTTAGTTACAATAGAGCCCCCTTATCTGTGGCGTCAGTATTGGCTTATCCGTTTATCCACGGTCAGAAAATATTAAATGAAAAACATCCAGAGAAACTATTTTCACACGTGTTAACAGAACAACATTCACGGCTTCTGGCCGCCCCCAACCTGGCACTTTCTATCTTTTTAGAAACTGCAGAAACTCTGAAGGCTGGCGATGAATCTTGAGATTTGCAGCACAGTATGTAGTCCAGCTAAGGACACAGATGAACTCTGTCCATCATTTTGGACAGTCCAGATGCAAAAGGAAATGTTACAATTTGAGAAACATCCTGTGCGTAAGGACTAGTAGGATTCCTGTATTCATGGGGTTAGTATCCACAGTCAGAAAATATTAACAATATTAAAATAACAAAAATCCAGAAATATGTATTTTCACAATTACCAGAACTAACAACTAGAGGGAGCTAGAGAGTAGATAGCCCACCCTCTGGCTCTCTAGTGGACAATTCTGAATAATCCATAGTAAAAATATATATTTCTGGAATTTTTCTTTTCTTTTACCATGCTATATATAACATTTGTTGTTAACCATGGATACAGTGTGTGTGTGTCCTACTGTACAGTGGTGCCTCGCTAGATGATGTTAATTCATTCCAGCGAAATCGCTGTAGAGCGAAAACATCGTCAAACGAAATAAAAAAACCATTGAAACGCATTGAAAACCATTAAATGCATTCCAATGGGCTGAATACCAGCTCGTCCAGCGAAGATCCTCTATACGGCGGCCATTTTCGGTGCCTGTAAAGCGAGGAATCTGTCCTAGAAAACAGCGGAGGGCCATTTTCTTCAGCCAGCGGCCATTTTGAAACCTGACGATCAGCTGTTTGCTGATCGTCGTAAAGCGAAAATCAGTTCCCGAAGCAGGGAACCGATCATCGTTAAACGAAAAAAACCCATTTAAAGCATTGTTTTGCAATCGCAAAAGCGATCACAAAAACCTAATCGTACAGTGATTTCCTCGTTAAGCGAGGGAATCGTTAAGTGAAGCACCACTGTACTTCAAAGAAAGTTCTATGACAAAGAAAACTTGAAATGAATATCACTTTTACTTATTTATCTGCTTTGTGTAACCCCCTATAAAAGCTATCCCATGCATTCAGGAATAGCTAGGCAACAAAATACCAGCCAGTAAAAAATAATGGACTAAATCAAAGCAGAATACAGCCAGCGCTATTTAAAACCTTGCAGGTGAAATAACTGCAAGCAAGGAAACACAGGGGGAAATATAACATATATTTCCTTGAGAGATGCTGCACCTGATCAGCTGCTTGTTAAACTACTGCTCCCCAAATCCCATTGCTTAATTAGAGCTGCAGCTCTCTCCTGGGTCCTCTCAGGCAAGGTTGCAAACCATCAGCCCTTCAAAGCTGATGAATTGTTACCTCCGTCACAGTCTGACGTTGGCCGAGGTGGCTATAAAGATGGGAACCAGAGTTCGGCTTATCCAGAGGGCTATAGGTTGCCCAGCCCTATGTTAAGGTTGCCCATGTCACTGGCATGAGGAACGGAGACCCATCCCACTTGGTAACATGATCATCACCATGACTGTTGAACCCGTAAACAGGAATCAGCATCCACTCAGGGACCAATGGTGAACGTATGGCACAGCTGGCACATCGGGAAATATTGATCTGTCCTCTGATCCTGGATTTGGACACTCCCCTCTGCGGTGCAGTGGTCCAGCGGAGGGCGTGCAATGACGACCTCTAGCCCAATGGGGGGATTGGAGGACCGGTAAGTATTTCTTTGTTAATACCGCCCATGGGGAAAAAAACAACACAAATATTTAACCCTTGCAGTGCAGGAGCAGTTGGGTTTTTTTTTCTAAACTAAAACCTCATTATTCAGGTTTTAATTGCAGCGCTGGCACTTTGAAATAAATAAGTTGATTTTGTGTTGCAGTTTGGGCACTCAGGCTCAAAAAGGTTCACCCTCACTGCACTAGGGAAAGAGAAAGAGCCTTTACCGAGAGAGGATATGATGGCCCAGTTCTCTTCCATGACCTCCTGGTGGAGGGCCCTCTGGTCAGGATCCAACAGCACCCACTCCTCCTGGGTGAAAGATACGGCCACCTCCTCAAAGGTCACAGAACACTGGACAAAAACAGAAAACACTCACCCAATACAAAAGGATAATTAAAGTGACGTACAGTAGGACCCCCCACTTGTCCGCAAGATCAGTATCTGCTTATCCACGGTCTAAAAATATTTAAAAATTTTAATGACACAGTTACCACAACTGGCCACTAGACAGAGCTGGAAAGCATGCTATAATATAGAGTTCACTATTAAAACTGTGTTCACAATAATCTGTACTTTTTAGCATTCCTGGTGCCCCCCCACCAGGGAGGCAGCTTGGAACCCTGTGGAAAAGGCTGTATCTGAATCTTCTTCTGGCTGGATATCTCGGTGACTAAGGTCTCTGGCCGTGAAGGCTGGGAGTTCGATTCTCCCCGCTGGACCTCCTGGGGAGAAGTGCCAGCCTGGGTGGCCTTGGGCCAGCTGCACAGTCACAGAAATACCTGCCAGAAGAAGGGAGGAGTAAACTACCTCTCAGTACTGCCACAGTCAGAATGGACTTGACAGCACAGGTTTTTGATCTGGATCTTATCCTGCAGGATTTTATTTTCCCGAGAAGCATCCACAGCCTTTCTAGTGAAGAACAAGGTTTCCAGCGAAGGTCCCTCCGAAGGCCAGATGCACGGGAGGGGTTTCAAGAGTGGCTACTAGCCATCTTAGCTACGTACATGCTCCCTCCTCCTTCATCAACTCTCAGAAAAGCAGTTGCAGACTCAAGAGCGAAACAGGAAGGAAGGGGCCACGTTTTGCCCTCTTTGACGTTCAAGCCTCGGGGACAAAGCGTTCTCACCAGCTGGTCTTCCTGCCTTTTGTCCTCTCGCCAACTCAGGAGGAAGCCTTCGGCCAGGGCCACCGCCTGGGAACTGGTCTCCGCTCCACATTCCCTCACCCGGTTCGACATCTCCGGGGGAAAGATGGTCAGGAACTGCTCCCGGATCTGTTTTTTTCAAATCCAATGCATCAGTCAATTCAGTCAGGATAGTAAGAAAGTCTGCATACAATCACAAGGTGCAAATCGTAGTTTATTTTAGATATACTTCATTTTACACAATCTAATAATAATTCTAGATCCAAACAGATAGACACTTTGAACATAACATGCTAGACATAGTAACAGAGTGGAGAAATGTCTGGATCATTGACGTCGCAATTCCAGGAGATGCCAGAGTTGAATATTTTAGCCATCCTTCAGTCTTGAAAGACTATGGTAACGTTCAACGTTGAAAAGAAAGAATTGGAAAAACTAACAAAGTACAGAGACCTGGCCATTGAAACATCTCACGTGTGGATGAAGCAGACTTCAGTGGTCACTGGGGCTTTGGGAACAATATCGAGAAATTTCACACAGTACTGTAAGCAGTTGCAGATCTCAGAAATCACACCATCAGAGCTACAAAAAACAGCAATATTAGGAACAGCATACATACTGTGCCGACATTTAAGGGAAACTTCGATTTTTGGTTAAAACTTGTACCTGTTATATAATACCAGTCAATGTTTTCATAGTTTTGATTGACTGTGCCTGGTATTTTGAATAATAATAATAATAATAAATTATTCCACCATAGTCATTTATCGTGCGGCATCTTTTCTGGACAAGCGGAATGCGCTAGAATCCTTCTGGCACCCTCAATTACCAAGCCATTAACAATCAAAACATATGGACTCTCCTTGACTGTTAATGGGGCCAATGGGTCAAAGAAACAGCCAACTAGCCCATTATCAAGCAAGGCACTTAACGAGTTCCTAGGAAACGACCTTCTTGGGTGTGATTGTTGCTCATAATAATAATAATAAGCTGTCAAGTCAATTCTGATTTATGGTCTCCCTGCTCAGGGTTTCCTAGATGGAGACTACTCAGAAGTGGCTTCCAATTCTCTTCCTCTAAGGGGCACCCTGGTACTGTACAGCAGTGGTCCTCAACCTTGGGCCTCCAGATGTTATTGAACTACAACTCCCAGAAGCCTTCACTACGACCTCTGCTGGCTAGGATTTCTGGGAACTGAAGAAAAAGAACATTTGGAGGCCCAAGGTTGAGGACCACTGCTGTACAGCTTGCCCAAGGACACACAGGCTGACTCTTCTTTCAGGAGGTCTAGTGGGGGAATCAAACTCTCCACCTGTGGCTCCACAGCCAGAAATCTAATTCCCTGAGCTTGGTGGGAGCCTCCAATGATCCTTCCTGAATTTCCTTGGCAATTCCTTTGCTGTATGTTATCCCCTGGACTGCCAGAGAAACCTGGGACAGACTCACCATCAAAAGCTCTCTTAAATTGCTCTCCACATCCCTCGCACTTAAAACTGGAGATGGGGGGGCTGGGACAAGAAACATTTTTTTTAAAAAAGGAAAAAAGTGCTGTCAATGTAATTAATTGCAATATGAGAGACGTTTTCAAACAAAGTGTATTAGACATCAGAGCCCATAGCTGACTTGTAAGACATATCAACTTGTTAGCATAGACTAAAACTCAATTTCAGGAGGAAAAATAGTTGTCTTTGAAAAAAGATTTATGTGAGGCCTTCACTCATCTTTGTTTTGAGCAAATCAATACTGTAGAACGATGCAACAAAAGCCCTTGTCTATGTGGGGCAGCTGAATTAGAAGATTTTGCCCTCTGTTCATGGCAACTATATGCCCGTATTAAAGATTATTTAGCCCCTTTCCTTGACAGTATGAAAGGAACAAGTTGCATTTCCTATAGCAATGCAAATGCAGGAACAGGTGATATCTTTACTTGACCATTAAGAATAAATAATTCTTAAAAACCAGCAATCTTTTGGTGATAAATCATCTTCTTCAAGACTGTGCATCAAGTTCTTTCTTGTTGCCTGCCTGCCTGTCCTTTGTTTCAAGAGACAGGCTGTAAATTTGAAACCACAAGCTGATGTGAAGCTTGAAACCAACTTGCACGCCGCAGCCCTTAACAACTAAGAAGTGAACGTGGTCTCAATATCATCAGCCATGTGGATCTGGACTTTAATAATAGCACGTAAGTTTGGAATGACCCACAAGAACTTGACACACAGCCTTGAAGAAGAAGATGATTAATCACCGAAAGCTCGCTGTTTGTTGTTTGCTTTATATTCTTATTAGCCGAATAAAGGAATAAACTCTTCCTGCATTTGTATCGTTTTGCTGACCATGCAGCCTTTTCCTGATTTTTTTTTCTAGGGCAAGAATCCGAACAATTTGGGGTGGGGTGGGGGCCTCTCTTTGCTGATAAAGCAGCCTCTCTAGGGAAGAAGGATCTGTTTAGATGAGCCGCAGAATGTTTTTATCCCTAGTTAGGTTTGACTGGTAGGACAGAAGCCTATTTAATTATGACAAACTGAACAAATAAGTTGCATATCTAATTTGACTATTTTATAATTTTAACCCTTTGCAAGCTGAATATTTGCTGTTGCTTTTGTTATTAGCCTGCGGAAGGGTCTGAAGGCTTCTTCAACAACGTATCTACTAATAGAACTGCTATATTTTAAAAAAAGTTCTTATTAGAAGAACTAACACCCTATAGTATTTTGGGGTACCCTTCCCTGCCTATCTGGGGGGTCAGCTTTTTCCTTTCCTAGTCCAAGAAAGGGGGGATTCTCCTTCTTCCCGACCCTCCTCCCTCTCCCCACTGCCTCCATGTCCCCCTAATACCCCGGGCCGGGCTTACCTACAGCTTCCCTTTCCAGGATCAATTGCGGGAGGGGGGGATGGAGAGAAGAAAGACAATCCCTAAAATCCTGGAAAAGGGAGGCAGCAATCCGCGTTTCCCGACGGACGATGAAAAAAGTGGGACAGGAAAGGACTCTTTTGGACGCACCCCCTCTCCTGGGTTTTCTTCCCCTTCCGCTCTAGGAATTCCGACTCAGCGATATTAACCCTTAGTTGCCCACACTGACTCTCTCTGGCTTTGCTAAAAGAAGGCTAAAGGAAACATGGACAGCTTCTTTTTCTTTTTTGGTCCTGGGATGTGTTTCTCTGTGCTGGTTTTGCAGGCAGGGCTCCATGACTGCCCTGATCAGATGACTTCCACAGTGCCTACTACATGTTTGAGAAAGCAGGCCGGCTCCCTGCCCCTAGGAGCCTACAGCTAACACTCAATGGGCAGACCCAACACCTTAGGAAAGGAAGGGTCATCATGGCCCCTAGTAGCCATGCAGCAGCTTCCAGGAAAAGCATCCTCTCCCCCCCCCTTGCACAAGGAACAGGGATAGGAGACACATTTCCCTGCCTGTCATCCCAGAGCGGTCAGCAGGACCAGCCAGTGACAGGGAGACCCCAGCCTCGGGCGTCACACGGCAGGAGACGGCAGCACAAGAGATGAGGTCAGGAGCCCAAGGCATGGGCCCCCCTCTCAAGGCTTCTTGCCCGACGGCTCTTCCCAGGCAGAGGTGACCAAAGTCCAGGTCTCCAGATGGGGTTGGAGAACAACTTCCATCCATTCTAGCTGGACCAGACCGTGCTACGAAAGGCCAGAAGTCAAGCAGCAGGCGCCAAACTCCACGTTGCCCACCCATAGGAAAGGGACAAGATGAGGTGTCTTTGCTGCCCCTTCTTTTAAAATGCCACCTCCATGGATCTGATCTTCGGGATTGGTTTTCCATCCTCCGAGAGTGGCAAGGGCACACAAGTGGCTGAAAAAGTCAGCTTTTTGGCAGAATATGTATCAGAGAAAAACTTCCTGCTAGAGCTGTACAAGGGAACCCATGATCTCAAGAGGTGGTGAGGGCTCCCACAACGGAGGCCTTCAAGAGAAATTTAGACACCCCCCCCCTTGGCAGATCATCTTTGATTTGTACTCATGCACTGAGCTGGGGGTTAGACTCGATGGCCTTATAGACCCCTTCGAAAACACACACACCCTCTATGGGCACAAATCTCTTCAAAAACAGGGCGTACCCCATCATGTCTTGCTTTAGCAAACTTCCAGGCCCTTCCCTTTTTACATTTGGTGAGGCTGATGCCACTCCCAGAAGGTCCTGGTGCCCCCCAAAATAATAAAAACACCTTCAGGAGCCCCTGGAGGATGTCCGCTCCGGAGATAAAAAGAAATTTGTCAGGAAAAATCTTAGTTGTACAGTCCTTAGAATATCTGAACAGCATGAGTATAGGGTCTTCTCAGGGAAGATTCCCCGATTTCTCAAGTGATTCATTGCTGTCACATAGTCCAGCCTTAAAAAGTATCCTTTAAAACAACACAGGCCTCAAGAACTCTAAGCTGGACAAACTGCCAATTATATACAATAGTGATCAGTTCTCAGGAGGGGGGAGAATTATGAATAATTTCTGTAGGAAAAAGAGATACCTAAATGTAAACAATATGCCTATAGTAACAAATGACTAAATTTCTTTTTAAAATTTGCTTTTATTAAGATAGTAAAACACCCCAATCCCCACTGTGCCTTTTTTGTTGTTATTATCTTTGGACTCCAACTCCGAGAATTCTCCAAGCATTCCCCAGGCAGAATGCTACGATTTCACACCCACAAATATCTACCTGCAGACACCTTCATTTCACTCACCTAGGCAAGGCTGATGGTCTCCTTCAAGGCCTTTGTTTCCTGCTGCAATTATTCCTGGTATTAGTCTTGCTACCCTGTAGGCACTATAGAGAGTGGTTCTTGAAAAAAAAACTTCCTCCAGGAAGCAGTGTCGCAGGAGATCAAGGCCTAGAAGGACAGCTTGTCCAGGTGAGTGAAAAAGGTGTTTGCAAGTATGTGGAAGGACAGATTGTGAAGCTGAGGCTCCAATACTTTAGCCATCTCATGAGAAGACTCCCTGGAAAACACCCTGATGTTGGGAAAGTGTGAAGGAAAGAGAAGGGGACAACAGAAGACGAGATGGACGGACAGTGTCATTGAAACGACCAACATGACTTTGACCAAACTATGGGAGGCAGTAGAAGACAGGCGGGCCTGGCGTGCTCTGGTCCATGGGGGCACGAAGAGTCAGACATGACTTAACTAAACAACACATTTGTGGGCTGGAAGTCCCAGAATGGTGCTCAGAGAATTCTTGAGTCCACAAAATGAAACAAATAGCACATTTCTACAAGAGGCCACCCATATCTGCAGAGGATCGGTTCCAAGCTGCACCCCCTCCCCATGGATACCGGTAAATGTGGATTGTAGTAAACACGATACATTAGGGGTCATCAACCTCTGGTCCGCAGTCCAGTGCCATACTGTGGGCTTGCCGGAACTGAGCCGCGGATACAGATCACCCCACACCCCCGGCACTCAAAGGTGGTGAGCATGTCGCGCTTCTGGGGGGCGTGTCATGCAGGCGTGACATGCCCCTCGCGTGAGCATGACACATCCCCTGTAGGCACAACACACCCACAGTGTGTGACATGCCCCCCACAGGCGAGACACACCCACGGCGTGTGACATGGCCCCCTGCGAATCGGGCTCACTCCCCCCAGTTGGTCCGCATCCCCAAAATGGTTGGGGACTGCTGCTATACATAGTAGTCTATGGCTCCCTCTACTGGCCAGTTGTGCTCATGACAGAGTGGAAACATATTTCTCTAGCAAATACTCTACATCCATGGTCTGGGAACAGGGGTAAATTACCACAAATGGGGTAAAAATGAAAATCCTGGGGATAATGAGCACCCATCCACTCCCACCCCCTACAGCTGAACCTCAAACTGGAGAATGATTAAAGTGGTAGGAAAAGCCCCCCCCCCCAACTCTGCATTGGCTGTCTCTAGCAAGCATGTCATTGCTAGCACCACTCTGGCAGTCACTGATGATGATTAAATCCTCTGTGAGCTAGCAAAAATGTAATGCAACTTGCTAGGCACATTGGACATCTTACTACTCCCTGTACTACCCCACGGTTGGAGTGCAATGTGTTCCAGGAAAAATAGTGCACATCTTTATTAAATTTGGTGCATCCTGCTAGTTTAGTACATAGCCTGGCAGCCATTGATACTGATGATGTATCCTGCTAGTTCGGTACACAGCCTGTGTAGATTCAATAATAGGTAGAATTTAAATAATGTATGATTTCCTTCCTTTCAAATCAAGGGGGTAATGTTGGTGTATATAAAATTTTTTTTTGGGGGGGGGGTAAAAGGTAAAAAAGTTCCCTGACCCCTGCTCTACATAGCATGATCTCTGCCTCCTTCTAATGGCCATTTCAGGTAACTTCATCTTTAGAAATACATATTTTTAGAAGAGTTCTAATCTAAACATTTCAGACAGTGGATAAGAGAATCAGCTGATACAGGACTGCAGATTCCGGGGTCCTACTGTACTTAAAATGGGCCATAATTTTTCAGGGAGCTTGTGTACGTAGGAGCTCTTTGGGGTCCTTTGTGTCAGCCACACTCCCGCCAGCCCGACTGACCTTCACAGAGCTGTTTGTGAAGATTAAAAAAATGAGGAGACATCGGCTTCTTTAAGCTCACAGCCAGAAAAGAGAGGCATAAGATGCAACAATAGCAAGAGCGGCTAGAAATAAGGCAGCCAGCAGGGTGTTGTGACTAGTGTGTCAAGACTAGGACTTTGGGAAATGTGGGTTCGAATCCCCCGCTCAGCCACAGAAACTCACTGGTGAGGGGGAACTGGCCCACCACTTCTTGAAACATCTCATCTTTATCCAAAACCTGTTCGGGTCACTATGAGTTGGAAGTGGCGAGGTGACCCATCAGAGAGAAGAAGAGCAGAAATAATCCGTTCGTCGTCGTTTAGTCGTGTCCGACTCTTCGTGACCCCATGGACCAGAGCACACCAGGCCCTCCTATCCTCCACTGCCTCCCGTAGTTGTGTCAAATTCATGTTGGTGGCTTCGCAGACCCTGTCCAGCCATCTCATCTTCGGTCATCCCCTTCTCCTCTTGCCGTCACACTTTCCCAACATCAAGGACTTTTCCAAGGAATCTTTTCTTCTCATGAGATGGCCAAAGTACTGAAGCCTCAGCTTCAGGATCTGTCCTTCCAGTGAGCACTCAGGGTTGATTTCCTTCAGAATGGATAGGTTTGTTCTCCTTGCAGTCCAGGGGATTCTCAAGAGTCTCCTCCAGCACCACAATTCAAAGGCATCAATTCTTCGGTGGTCTGCTTTCTTTATGGTCCATCTCTCACTTCCATACATCACGACAGGAAAAACCATAGCTTTCACTATTCGGACTTTTGTTGGCAAGGTGATGTCTCTGCTTTTTTAGACGCTGTCAAGGTTTGTCATCGCTTTCCTCCCCAGAAGCAGGCGTCTTTTAATTTCGTGGCTGCTGTCTCCATCTGCAGTGATCATGGAACCCAAGAAAGTAAAATCTGACACTGCCTCCATATCTTCCCCTACTATTTGCCAGGAAGAAATAATCCAGGAATCTTTAAAAACACTTATGATGATGATGGACAAAAAAAACAGCAGACAGCAGTGAGGCAAAAGAAAGTAACAACCCTCTTGAGTTAAGCCGATGGTTAATACAAGCACTCCATAGATCAAAAGCAAACCATAAAATACAAATATCCCGAGAAAATAGGTGAACGTAGGATAATGGGCAGATAGACACAGAGGTATAAGCTCTGCAGATCACTGTGCAGCTGATGGTGGGCTCCTCACTTTTCCAGGCCAAGGAGAGGAGTCTCTTTGCTGTCAAGAGGAGACCCAGGATCCTCTGGCAATGTCCCTCTGTGTGCCGTCCGTATCACGAGAGTATATGTTAGGAGGAGATGAGCACCAGCCAGGAGCAAAATAAAACTAACGTGAACCATAGCATCTAGCTTGAAGGGGAGAAGCTACTACAGTAGGACCACGGTATTCAAACCCCCCGAAAAAACCTGCAGATTGCATGGTCTCTGGCTCCCTCTAATGGCCAGTTCTGACACTGTCATCTCTAGAAATGTGCATTTCTAGGATTTTTCTTTTAATATTTTCAGACCATGGCTATTGATCCTGTGGATTCGGGGGCCCTACTGTATAAATACATGTTTCAGAGAGGGGTTATTTAGTATTTTCAGGCAGCAGATAACTGAATCTGTGGATACTGATCCAGCGGATAGGGGGAATCTACTATATTTTTATTTCTGTTTAAATTAATTCTTAGCAGGTACTCAAAGGGCATGGCCATAATTAAAACACCAGAAGGAGCTGCAACAAACAGGAATTTCCCCCTGCAGCATTCATCACACTAGTAGACGAAATACACCGAAAACTTTAAAATGATGGGGAGATTATTTTAAATGATTATTTTAGATAATTCCCAGCATCTAAGCTCCCAAAGGACTTACATCCATTTCTTGTCTTGTTCTTAAACTCAAAACACAGCAGAAACAGATTCATCTGTTCTAGCTTCACACATTTTCTCACACATAATTCACGCTACCGTTAGACCCCTCTGATCTGGTTTCAAGTGACCTCCTCATTTCTACCTGCATCTTCTTAGCCTCTGGCTGCATCTTGCAGCTCAAATCTCTGCAGACCTACCTTCCCAGTTTTCTTTAACTTGAAACAAACAAACCTTGATCTATGAGTTTTATCACATTCCTGCCCCTAAATCCTTGGATTTGACTCATTTCTCCTCACTCTGCTCTTGGGGATCCCTTCTCTTTCAAGCATTCAGGCACTCGGGAAATTAGCAAGCATGCCTTTTGTTTACTGTACAGTGGTGCCCCGCATAGCGAGGTTAATCCGTTCCGGATTAACCCTCGCTATGTGAAATCGTCGCTAAACGGAATGTAAAAGCCCATTGGAACGCATTAAACATCGTTTCACTGTACATGCCTTTTGTTTACTGTAGATCAGTGTTTTCCAACCTCGGGTGCTCAGATGTTTTTGGACTAAAACCTCCCACCACTCGCTGGGCTGGCCAGGATTTCTGGGAGTTGTAGTCCAAGAATCTCAGGGAGACCCAACATCGGGAAGGCACTGATCTTGATGAAGCTGGTCGATTCTCTAATTAAAACAGATTTTAAACCAAAACTGTGAAGGTGTAGGTGCTGCCAAAGTATTCAGCTGCAAGGAAAAAGTTTCCAATACTGTGATGCCTCGCATTACGTTAATTCGTTCCAGCGAAATCGCTGTAGAACGAAAACGTCATAATACGAAATTAAAAAGCCCATAGAAACGCATTAACACCCAATTAATGCGTTCCTAGGGGCTTGAAACTCACTGTCCAGCGAAGATCCTCCATAGCGCAGCCATTTTTGCTGCCTGTGCAGCGAGGAATCCGTCCCAGAAAAGAGCGCGAAGCCATGTTTTTTACCCGGTGGCCATTTTGAAACCACTGATCAGCTGTTAAAAAAATCATCGCTTTGCGAGAATCGGTTCCTGAAGCAGGGAACCAATCATTGCAAAGTGAAATTCCCCCATAGGAAACATTGTTTTGCAATCGCTTTTGCGATCACAAAACCTTGAATGTAAAGCGATTTTGTCGTAAAACAGAGTGCTCGTAATGCGAGGCACCACTGTATTAGATGTCTGTCCTCGGTATGAGCCTTCTTTGGCCTTTGACTTCTGGCACTTTAGCAAAATGTTTTCGGTCATCAAGGCATTGACTGTATTTGTCTCTTGCACTGCAGTTGTTCCTCTCCTGCTGATGTACTAAAATATTTTCTACACTTCATGAACATGAATGACTTCTCTCACATGTGGACTTTCTGGTGGTTCACAAGTTCTGAACTTGAAGCCTATTATGGCCCACACTGCTAAAAATTAAGCCAGTCCTCTTAAAGGAACTCAGAGAAAAACATATCCCACATTATTGGCAATTTTTTCCAGTTTCTTTCCTGTGTGGAGACCTTGATGATTCTAAAAATTTGCCTGGCAAAGAAAACATTGTCCATGCTAATGGTATCTGTCCTGTGTTGACCCTCAAGAGGGCCAGAAGGACTGAATTACGAAGAAAAGACATTCTGCATTTCTGTTTTCTCTCTGTTTTTTTCTCGGCTGTGGACTCTCTGATGGATCAGAAGGTACGACTTCCAAGCAAAACCTCTCCCACACTGCTGGCATTTGTGTGGCTTGTCTCCTGGGTGGATAGTTTGATGCGTCACAAGGTGTGCATGCTGCGCAAAAGACTTCCCACACTCCTGGCATCTGTATGGTTTCTCTCCGGTGTGGACTCTCTGGTGGATCTGTAGGTTTGAATTCTGGGCAAAACATTTCCCACATGACACACATTTGTATGGTTTCTCTCCTGTGTGGATTCTCTGATGCTTTACAAGGGTAGAATTCACTGCAAAACATTTCCCACACTCCTGGCATTTATGCAGCTTCCCTTCTGTGTGGACTCGCTGGTGGTTCACAAGCTGAAGACTATGTGCAAAACATCTCCTACACTCTTGGCATTTGTAGGGTTTCTCTCCCGTGTGGACTCTCTGGTGCTTCATAAGGTTTGCATTCTGAGCAAAAGACTTCCCACACTCGTGGCATCTATACGGTTTCTCCCCTGTATGGACTCTGTGATGGTTCAGGAGCTGTGAGCTATGAGCAAAACCTTTCCCACACTCCTGGCACTTGTAGGGTTTCTCACCTGTGTGGACTCTTTGATGCTTCACAAGGTTTGAATTCTGAGCAAAACATTTCCCACACTCCAGGCATTTGAAGAGTATCCCACTGGAGTGGATTGTCTGATGGTTCACAAGCTGTGAACTATGAACAAAACATTGGTCACACTCCTGACATTTATACGGTTTCACATCTGCGTGTATTCTCTGATGCTTCACAAGGCTGGCGTTCTGAGCAAAATGCTTCCCACACTCTTGGCACTGATATGGTTTTTCTCCTTTGTGGACCCTCTTGTGGATCACAAGGTTCGAATTCTGAGAAAAACACTTCCCACACTCCTGGCATTTGTATGGTTTCTCTCCAGTGTGGACTCTCTGGTGGATGAGAAGATTTGCATTCTGAGAAAAACATTTCCCACACTCCTGGCATTTGTAGGGTTTCTCCTTTGTGTGCACCGTCTGATGCTTCACAAGGTTTGAATTCCAAGCAAAGCCTTTCCCGCACTCCTGGCATTTGTACGGTTTTTCTCCTGTGTGTACAAACTGATGAGTCAGAAGGTCTGACTTCCAAGTGAAACATTTCCCACACTCCTGGCATTTGTGTGGTTTCTTCCGTGGACGGTCTTTGTGGTGGCCCATAAGGTGCTACATTCAATAAAAATAATTTCTTCCAGACACTTCACATTTAACACTTTTCTTCGCAAACGTTCCTCGCACAGGATGTATTCCCGAGATTCTCTACCACATGGGTTTACTAGCAAGACTCCATCTGTGTATAAAACTCCATGCCCTCCTTGCACCTCTGGCAATTGCCCTCCGGTCAGCTGCTGGGAAAAAGGAGAAACAGAGAGAAGACTAAATTCTAAGTCCAAGGGTGAAGGAAACTCAGGCAACAGAAAGGGAGCTGTTTTGCTTGGGGCCATTATGATGGCAAAGCTACCTGGATAGCTCAATTAGTTAGGCATCTGGCTGGCGAGCCAGAGGTTTATAGTTCGATTCTCCTCAGAGAAGAGTCAATCTGTGTAGCCTTGGACAAGCTGCAAAATCCCAAGGGACCACCAGAAGAAGGGAATGAGAAAACACTTCTGAGTATTCCCTGTCTAGAAAACCTTGGAAAGCGTTACTATTTGTCAAAGTTGACTTGATGGCCCTTTTGGGCAGCAACAGAATGCCTCTCTAGTCTACATACTCTTTTACCAACTCCTGTTTTAGATTTGAGCAATCTTATATCTTACTGTTGGCTTTATTTAAATTCCACAAGCTGAAATTCAGATTTTCTTTTCTGCTAGTTTTCAAGTTTGTTCTACTGTGCCATCTCTGTTATTTGTTGTACTATTAATTTCATGTTTTAGAAAGTATTATTCACCCTTCTCTACAGATTGTGTACAAAGATGAAATGTGGTTTTTTTTTCTTTGCGTGTTTTAATGCTAATGTATTTTATAAACCACCCAGATAATCTCAGCTGCTGGGAGAAGGAGGTTTATAATAATAATTACAATAATAATTATAATAATAATTGCCATCAAGCAAATGCACGTGTTGAGTATTCCGAAGTTTGAAAAGTCATGGAATGTCCACTCCAAGCCCTTACTGATGGGGAAAATCTAGAGCCACAGCATCTCTGACATATGTCAGTCGTTCAGATATCATTCTAAGCTCTTTTTCCAATTTTAAGAACAACCATGGATTTCTGAAACTATTAGGAGTTATGGAATTGGGCTAAACCGAAGGAGGTATGAAATCATGATGAGGCATAGGCTTTTATGGTGAACTATCAACAGCTATGGTGGATCAGACCAGTGGTCTCTTTGACTTAGCCTACTCTTCAGACTGTGTCCTGTGAAGCCTTCTATGGAATGCCCACCTGAAGGAGAACAACTGTACTCCTCTATTCTACGATTTGACCGCTGTGAATGTAATGGGGCAGAAAAGCATTGGCTTTCTATGAGTTGAAAATTGTGGTTAATGAAGCAGACTTTTCCCCCTATCTTCCCAGATCTGCATGAACAGACACTTAGAACGTTCCTTTTTACCTAACATAGAATGATAGATAATGAAGTTGGAAAAGTACTATAAGGCCATCGTCCAACTCCCTGCTCAAGGCAGGCATCCAAATCAAAGCAGATCTGACAGATGGTTGTCCAATTTTCTCTTGAATGCCTCCAGTGTTGGAGCACTCGTCACCTCCCAAGGTCATTGGTTCCATTGTTGTACTGCTTTAACTGTTGAGAAGCTTTTTCGTGATATACAGTCTAAGTCTGGTTTCCTGTAACTGGAGATCATTGTTTCATGTCCTGCACTCAGGTATGATCCTGCTCTTCCTTTGTATGACAGCCTTTCAAGTATTTGAAATGTGCTATCATATCATCCCGCAGTCTTCTTTTATCAAGGCTAAACATGCCCAGTTCTTATTTATATTGCATTTTTAATGTAATGTAATGATTTCTTTGATTAATTTTACCGTTTTTAGCTTTTAATATTATGCTTTTAATGGCGTAAGCTTCTTTGGGTCCTTTTTTTTAGGAGGAAGGAGAGATAAAAATATATTAATTAATATAAAAATATATTATATAAATAATATATGTGGAAAGACATAATGGCTGAAATCCTGTTGCACTGCTTACATAAAAGGTGTAGCTTTTTAAGGCAAATTGTCTTACGAAACCTATCGCGTACAGAGTCGTGTAAAACTCATGAAGGCCTTTTGAACAGAAGACATGCTTTAAATACTAAAATGAGGACTTATTGCCTTACTAAGAAAGAATTAAAAGACAATAAGATAATCAATGACTTTAAAATGTTTTATGGCTTCACATGTACATAAGGTTTCCTTCTTAATATTTTCCATATTGTTGCTCCCTAATGTTATAATCGTTTGGTATCTAACAAAGCATTTCATTAGAAAATGTGCAAAAACTCGTGCCCAAGGCAAATCACACCTATACACCCAGAGGCTTCTGTGGGGCGTGGATGATCATTCTGGGGATTCAGCATTTGGACAGAGGGAAGGTAGCCATTGCAAGCAGACAGAAAAGATCTCAGGATGCTTAAATCCTGCCAATCAGAATTCTAAAAGAAAGCAAACTGTTGGGATAAGAGCAACTCAGAGTAACTCTAGCAGTTCACCTGTCTTGCCCACAAACTAGCGTCTCAAGCAAAAGAGTGCTTCTGTGGCAGATAACATGCCAACAATCCAGTGTCCTTGTTTGTATATTAAGTTGCTAAATCACCTGATCTTCCTCTGTTGGGCTCCCCTAAACCTTAAGGTTCACCATTTCTGAATGAACATCGATCACCTCCTCTCCATTACTGCTAATCCTTTTCCAACACTCTTCTGCCACAGCTTTAAATTTCAGATGCACTTTACTTAAAGCAAAAAAAAATCTGCATTTCTCCAACAGAGTGACTGGCAGAATCATAGAATCATGACATTGGAAAGGGCCTATAAGGCCACTGAATCCAACTCCCTCGCTAGTCAGTCCAGGAATATAGTATTTGCTCTCACCTAGCATGGGAGCTGTTTACCGGCCTATAAGGCCACTGAGTCCAACTCCCTTGCTAGTCAATCCAGGAATATAGTATTTGCTCTCAACTAGCATGGGAGCTGTTTACTGACTACTACAGATTTACTTACCCAGAGTAAGAAGCCAGCTCCCCTGCATTACTCTTTGGTGTGATGTAGTATCAGAACATCCTGAGGTTGCCAAGATGTTTCCCCTAAAAGTGGGAATTAAAAATAAAGGTCATGCTTCTCTTCACAATAAACCACATTTTACATATTTAAGAAGCCACATTCTCAGTTCTGCTAAAAAACATTTTAAAGGCATATTTTAAGCTGCTTTAAGTTTCTCTTCCTAGATATGTTTGCTTTGCCCCCCCCAGCAAGTTCCACATTACTCAGTGGAACTGTCCCATCCTCATGCTGAATTTACCAGATGCTATTTATTTATTCTTATAAAACATGGGGAGGAATTGTCCTTTGTCTCGGGCACCAAAAACACTTGCATCCGCACTGGGCCCTAACTTTTCGCCTCTTATCACTCCTTGGAAAACACTACAATCCTTTAAAAAATGGAAGGCAGCAGAAAGACTGAATGTGAGAGGAATAGACTCTCCGAAGGAAACCACAGCCTCGAGTTCGCTTGAGGTCTGAGCAAGGCTCTTGAGAGGACATGTTGGAGAGCTCGGGCACCAAAAACACTTGCATCCGCACTGGGCCCTAACTTTTCGCCTCTTATCACTCCTTGGAAAACACTACAATCCTTTAAAAAATGGAAGGCAGCAGAAAGACTGAATGTGAGAGGAATAGACTCTCCGAAGGAAACCACAGCCTCGAGTTCGCTTGAGGTCTGAGCAAGGCTCTTGAGAGGACATGTTGGAGAGGGCTCATTCAGGGCTCTTGAGGAGAGGACATGTTGGAGAGAGCTCATTCCTAGGGTCGCCATTAAGTCAGAGGCAACTTGACAACAGCACAAAGCAACCACAAAAAATACACACTCACAAACACACACTATCCAGATCATTTGTCAGAGGCAACTTGACAACAGCACAAAGCAACCACACACAAAAAACACACTCACAAACACACACACACACACTATCCGGATCTTTTGTCAGAGGCAACTTAACAGCACAATGCAACCACAAAAACACTCACAAACAAACACTATCCAGATCTTTTGTCAGAGGCAACTTAACAGCACAATGCAACCACAAAAACACTCACAAACAAACACTATCCAGATCTTTTGTCAGAGGCAACTTGACAACAGCACAAAGCAACCACAAAAAAACACACATTCACAAAGACACACTATCCAGATCTTTTGGCGGGGAGAGGAGAGGGAAGAGACACACACACAATCGCCTTAAGACAAAAGGCCGATTAAAGAACTGAAGACCTGCTGCTGCTTTCCCAAAACCCTCCCCCAACTCCACCTCCTGATTAAGGGTGGTCACTAATTAGGGTCCTTCTTTTCTTTCCCTCCCACCCCCCAGCCACCCTCTCTCTCTCCCTCCCTGCCTGCCTGCCTCCCGTACAGCCCTGGCTGGCAAGCGGTTCACCATCAAACCCCCCCAAGGGGGCAAAAGGGGGAACCTGCTCTTCCCCCCCCCCACAATACACCAACCCCGAGGAAAATCCAAAACGCAGACCTTAAAAAAAAAGCCAGCTTCGCTTTACCTCCGGCGGAAGGAGAAAAAGGCCAGACCGGAAGGAAGCCGTTGGAGCATGTGGGATAAGGACACGCCCCCCTTGCCATCTTCTTCCCTCTCTAGGAATCTCACGTCTTTGCTGTTAACCCTTAGTTGCCGGGAAGCATTCCCCTGGCTCTCCAGGGAGCGCCGCCCCACACCCAGTTTTGGCTTCTCGGGCGCTGGGACCTGTTTTCCCCTCTAGGTTTTGAGGGAAGGAAACACACACACCGCCACCAAACCCCTCTATTATTCCCCCTTCATCTTCTATTATTCCCCCTTTCTTCTCCAGCTCAAGCCAGCCCCACATTTGGTTTCCTTATAAATTCCTGGGTCCTTTCGAGGATGCCTTATTATTCCATTTTTTAAAAACATTTTTGTTTAACTGAAGTGGCTTGAGAAGAGGTCGCCGTCTTAATCTGTGGTAGCCTAACGAATCAAAAAAAAGAGAGAAAGATGAATACGTTTTGGCACCTTAAAAACTAACTGCTGTATTTGAACGTGAGCTTTCGTGGATTTCAGTCCACTTCCTCAGACATATGAGTAGGACTGCATGGTAATATTTACACATGCCCCCAAATCAACAGGGATTTTAAAGTTTTTTGCCAGATCAACAACTTGTGGCGAAATACGGACTAAATGTATAAATGGGCCAGCACAGCTGGTGGTGAGTTGCAGTTCAAGAACATCTGGGAACCACTGTATAGGCAAAATTACAATGGTGGTTGTGGGTTTTTCACAGCCAAAGAACCCGAAAAACCCACAACAACCATCAGATCCCGGCCATGAAAGCCTTCAAGAATACAAAATTACAATGCTTTGTTAAACAAAGGATGTTGAGCTGTTAAACTTGTGAATTAGCAAGACCTATGAACTGCACATCAGGTAGATTTGCAGGCCACAGCAATGCTCAGAGTTGTTTTTGGGACAGAGATCAAAGCTTGTCAAGGGAGACAATATTTTATACTCCAAAGATACTACTTTGCTTTTTTCAGTCCTGAGTGGGTTTGATCTCTACAAGGCAATAAAAAGATCTATGCAAACAGAAGAGATCCATCTATATTCACAAAATGCAAATGGATATGGAAGTAGCTGTTTTCTGGGAGGTGTGGACATCACTGTGATGGACCAATACAGCCTAGCAGTGTGCCTAACCTCTAGTCTAGAGAATGTCCACATGGTCAGAAAAGGTTATATGATCATTGAAGGGGGGAAAAAGTGGTGGACCTTGCCAACTGTCAGATGGATACACAGCTGGTCACAGAATCATACTGAGAGGGTGATGATTAATGGCTCCTTCTCAAACTGGCAGGAGGTAACAAGTAGGGTACCCCAAGACTCACTCTTAGTTCTGGTGCTCTTCAACATTTTTATTAATGACCTAGATCAGGAGGGGCAGGGAACGCTCATCAAATTTGTGGATGACACAAAACTGGGTGAAATAGCTAATACCCTTGGAAGACATGAACAAAATTCAAAACTATCTTGATAGGACTGAGCACGGGGCTGAAAACAACAGAATGAAATTTAATAGGGATAAGTGCAAAATTCTACACCTAGGGGAAAAAACAAATGCACCATTACAAGATGGGGGACACTAGGCTCTGTAATTTTTGCGCAGTTACAAGATGGGGGATACTAGACTCTGTAATTATTGGAATTGCAATAAATCACAAGCTGAATATGAGCCAACAGTGTGATGTGGCTGCAAAAAAATAAAATAAAAAAGGCCAGTGCTGTTTTAGGCTTCATTAACAGAAGTATAGTCTCAAAATCCTAAAAAGTACAAGTTCCCCCTCTATTTAACACTGGTTAGCCCTCATTAAGTGTACTGTGTCCAATTCTGGACACCACACTTCAAGAAGGATACCAACTAACAGGAGCAGGTTCAGAAGAGGGCAACAGAGATTATCAGGGGGATTGGAAACCAAGCCCTCTGAGGAAGAACTAAAAGAATTGGGCATGTTTAGGCTTGAGAAAAAAATACTTGAGGGGAGAGATGATAGCACTTCTCAAATACTGGAAAGGTAATTCTACAGACGTAGGATCTGTTCTTGACCATCCCAGAGTGCAGGACATGTAATGAAGGGCTCAAGCTACAGGAAGTCAGATTTAGGCTGAATATTAGGAAAAACGTCTTGGCTGTTAGAGCAGTACGACAATGGGATCAATGACCTCTGGAAGTACAGTAATGAGTGCTCCAAAGCTGGAAGCACTCAAACGAAAATTGGACCACCATCCTGTCAGATCTGCTTTGATTTGGATTCCTGCCTGGAGCAGGGGGTTGGCCTCGATGGCCTTATAGGCCCCCTTCCAGTTCCATAATGCTATGATTTTATGATTCTGTGCCTATTCCTAATATTCCAAGGGCATGCTAAAATACCGATCTACTACCCTGGAGTTTATTTTCATTCCAACGGTTGCTGATGTACAAATGTAACAAAACAAGGCACCAGAAAACCAACCAACAAGGAAAAAACAACAACAGAAACAAGCATTACAAACAGTGTGCAGGAACAGTGGAAAATAAAACGGCAACAGCCACCGGCATCCATCGATCCAAAGAAGATGTCTGTACGTACGATACACGTTCAAACACAGAGCGTGCAGTAAGGACTTCAGAGTACTGAGCAACAAACACCATACAGAGAAGAACACAAACACCCCAAATTTCTTGCTCAACAACTTTCTTCATGTGGCTTAAAGTGGCATTTAAGCTCCGCTAGGCGACACTGACAGGCCACCCTCACCCATCCAGCTCCTTTTCATCTTCCCCATCTTAGGATGGTATGCAGGAGGAGAGGGAGGCAGGCATAACCCCACGCCCACATCCTGACATAGTGTCCCCAGGAAAGGACATGTTTTTAGCCTATAGTCACTTAGAAGGCAAGTATCCACAGGATCAAAACCATACACAGGATAGTGTCGGCAGGAATGCACTGCCTGAAACCTTGAAGAGCTGCTTATAGTCAGTGTTAATACCAGTGTAATAAAACTGCTTTAGGGAGATCAAGTGTCTGATTCAGGATAACAACTATTTTTTGGAAGGCGTCTCAAAAACCTGCTGTTGCCAGGTGTGGTCTAGACTAGAGAAATTATTTATTTCATTTTTAAACCACCCATTTGACCAAGGGTCATTTACCCTGAAGAGGCTAAAAAAATCCATTTTTAACCACTGATTAATCAATCTGTAAGAGTACAGCAGCCTCTTTTTTAGCTCTATTTTTAGTTTCATTTTCTCCTCAGAGGACTTCAAGAGGTTAAGCAATTCTCTATCCAGCTCCACTTCCTTCCGAACACACAAACTAGGCGTGGGAACTTCTATATTTCTCGGGCTTCACCCCTCCAAAAATTCACGAGAAGTCTACCCAGCCAGAATTCTGGAGGCTTGAGCCAAGAAATCAAAGTACTGTACTTGCAGGAGTTTTCAGTTATGCACAGGTGGGGAAAGAAGGCTGCCAGTCATTTTGTTCCTTTTAAGAAGACCAAGGGAAAGGATGAGAGTGGCTAAGCTCAATAGGAGATACAAGGTACAGTGGTGCCTCGCATAACGATGTTAATTGGTTCAAAAAAAAACATCGCTATGGGAAACATCGTTATGCGAAACATGTTTTCCCATAGAGATGCATTGAAAACCGGTTAATCCGTTCCAATAGGAACGGATTACCGTCCTTAAGCGAAAAAAACCATTGGAAACATCGTTATGCGATACAATGTTTCTCCCATTGGAATGCATTGAAGCCTTTTCAATGCTTTTCAATGGTTTAGCGAAGTCAATTTTTGCAAATTTAAGTGTGTCATAAAGGGTCAAAAATGGTTTTAAATGCTTGGAATAGCTTTTGCACCTTCTAAAAAGGGTGCAAACTTAATTTGGCTTTGATCTGACTTTTCGTTAATTTTTGCTGAACTTTTTCTCCCCCACCAACTTTTGACAGCTATCAAAATTTGACAGCTTCATTATTTCCTATGGGGGAGGAAAAAATTCACAAAAAATTAACGAAGACTCAGAACAAAGCCAAGCTTAGCTTCCACACGATTTAGAAGGTCTTCTAACTAACCCAAGCATTTAAAACAGTTGCTGACTTTTTGTTAATTTTTGTGAATTTTTTTTCTCCCCCATAGGAAACAATGGAGCTGTCAAATTTTGACAGCTCCATTGTTTCCTATGAGGGAGAAAAAAATTCAGCAAAAATTAACAAAAAGTCAGATCAAAGCCAAATTAAGTTTGCACCCGTTTTAGAAGGTGCTCTAACGAATCCAAGCATTTAGAACCATTTTTGACCATTTTAAGACACTTTATAAAATGGAAAAACAAACATCGTTATGTGAAGCAGGGGCCCTAAAAACGCATTCGCTATGCGAAGCATGGTCCCAAACTTCGCTAAGCGAAAATCGCCCACAGGAAACATCGTTAAATGGTACATAATATTTTCTTTAAAAAACCATTGTTATGCGAATTCATCGTTAAACGAGGCAATCGTTAAGCGAGGCACCACTGTATTATGGGACTGGTAGTTTTTTTTGAGAGGCACCATGTGTGGAGACTAACAAGCACAGCAACTAACAGTCCCCTAATCCTTTGCAGCTCCCACTGAGTTTCTCTTTCTTCACAAGAGCAAAATGGCTGAATTCTGTGAGGACCTGGATTTTTTTTTTTAGCTAAAACCGCCAGAATTCTGGCAAAGGGAATTCCTACTGTATTTTGAAGTCTAAAGTTGAAGAAATTAAAAACATCCCATGCCTAAGCAAGTCACATCTTCAGTTTCGTAGAGTGGTATGATTTCTCCCGTGTGATTTCCTAGTAAAAAAAGCACACTTGTATGATTTTGCTATGGTGTAGGGAGCCTGGTGTCAGGACTGATTTTTGAGCAAAATATTTTGAGCAAAATGTTCACACTCCACTGTCATTTGTGTGAGCTCTCTGATGCCTCAAAAGGTTTGAATTCTGAGCAAAAGACTTCCCACATTCCAGGCATCTGAATGGTTTCTCTCCTGTGTGGACTGTTTGATGTGACACAAAATGTGAATTCTGAGCAAAACACTTCCCACACTTCTGACATGTGTGTGGTTTCTCCCCAGTGTGGACCTTGTGATGCCTCAAAAGATTTGAATTCTGAGCAAAAGATTTCCCACACTCCTGGCATTTATAAGGTTTCTCTCCTGTGTGGACTCTCTGGTGGCTCAAAAGAGTTGCGCTCCGAGAAAAACACTCCCCACACTCCTGGCATTTGAATGGTTTCTCTCCCGTATGGATTTTCTGATGTGCCTGAAGGTTCGAATTGCGAGCAAAACCTTTCCCACACTCCTGGCATTTATATGGTTTCTCTCCTGTGTGGCCTCTCTGGTGGATGAGAAGGTTTGCAGTCCGAGTAAAACACTCCCCACACTCCCGGCACTGGAATGGTTTCTCTCTTGTGTGAACACTTTGGTGAATAAGTAGGACTGATTTTTGAGCAAAATACTTTCCACAGTGTTGGCATTTGTGTGTTTTCTCCCTTGCATGGATTCTGTGATGTGTGATAAGGTTTGGATTCTGAGCGAAACATTTCCCACACTCTTCACATTTATAGGGTTTCTCCCCTGTGTGGACTCTCTGGTGAATTAAAAGATTAGCATTCCGGTTAAAACATGCGCCACACTCCTGACATTTGTATGGTTTCTCTCCTGTATGGACTCTCTGGTGCACCAGAAGATGTGAAATCTGAACAAAACATTTTCCGCACACCTGACATGTATATGGTTTATCTCCAGTGTGAATGCTCTGGTGAACCAGAAGATGTGAATTCTGAGCAAATGATTTCCCACAGTCCTTGCATTTATACGGTTTCTCTCCGGTGTGGACTCTCTGATGCACCAGAAGGTGTGAAATCTGAACAAAACATTTCCCACAGTCTTGGCATTTGTATGGTTTCTCTCCGGTGTGGACTCTCTGGTGGATCAGAAGATTTGAATTTTGAGCAAAACATGCGCCACACACCCTGCATTTATACGGTTTCTCTGTTGTGTGGGCTGCTGGATGATCCTGGATGTGTGAATTGAGAGGAAAATGCGTTCTAAGCCGCTGGCATTTGTCTGTTTTTTCTTCCCTTTGGACTTTCTGGTGACTCGGTAGGTGCAAGTGGCAGTCATACCGCTTTGTAGACCCCTCACATCTAAAGCATTCCCTTGAAATGTGGACTCTTGTGTGAAGCAAAAGTGCTATCTTCTGGGAAAAACATTTCTCACAAACGGTGCATTTGTAGGGCTTCCATCTGTAAGAGTTCTTCCCTTCTCTGTGGGTTTGTTGGTGTCTGTCTAGGCCCATTTTCTGAATGAAACGCTTCCCATACTTGGGACATATGCTTGTTTTCTTCCAGTGATCAGCTGCGGGAAAGGAGAAGCACAGAACATATGATTTGCAAGAACGGGAGAGAAATAAACTCGGGGGGGGGGAAAGAAAAGGCAGTAACCCGAGGGCTGCAAACCTATTGTCAAAAAGGAGGAGACACCGTGCAACATTTACCCCTTCATAGGCGGCTGGTACTTATTTTACATTTTTTTCACATATCAGGTAAAAACATTTTGGTTCCAAATTGTGTTTTAAGTTATCTGTAATTTACATCTCTGCTGCCAAAGAGTTTTAGGTATTGGGCTGCAGACCTTGAGACCGGGAGTTCAATTTCACACTGGGCCTTCAGGGAGTAGAGCCACTCCGTGTGGCCTCAGGCGAGCTGTACAGGAATAAGGGTGGCCATAAATCAGAACTGACTTGAAGGGACATCATTGTTATTAAAGTGGTACCTTGACTTACGAACGTCTCCACTTACGAACATTTCGAGTTATGAGCAGCTCCATTCGCAAAATGTTGCTTCGACTTGTGAACGGAGCCTCGACTAGCGAATGAAAAAAACCTTTCCTGCCCTTTTTTTGACCTAAAGAAAAAATATATTCTCCTCTAGTGCTAGAGTGCAGATTAACCAGCTTTGCATTAGTTCCTATGGGAACTAATGCCTCTACTTGCGAACAGCGCCTCGACATAAGAACAAAAAACAGCCAGTACGGATTAAATGGTTTTCAGTGCATTCCTATGGGAAATTTTGCCTTGACTTATGAACTTTTCGACGTACGAACGCCGTTCCAATACCAATTAAGTTCGTAAGTCGAGGCACCACTGTATTAGTCAAAATCCTGTTTTGTAGTTATTCCTGGGGAAAGCAGCATCCCTTGCTGCCAAGTGATGAATCCTCACTTTGATATCTGGGCATGTGGCAGCCCAAAATCCAGGCAGGGACTTGGTAAGTGCCAATGAGAAGCCACGGCTAGTGACAAAGTTGGTATTTCCCAGGCCATACCTGGAGAGAAGGATTAATTAATTAATTAATTAATTATCCCACTTATCTGGTCAGTTATGGATGCTGGAAAGCAGTGTCTTTATTTTTTGTGTTTCCTTTCCTCTTGGTTTTCAGTGTGTCCTGTACTTATTTACTGTTTTTGGTTGCATTTTCCATTTTTTTGTAAATGCTATTACAGTGACTTATTAAATACAGGCTTGTTGTTATGTGCCATCAGTTCGCCTCCACCCTATGAATGGGTGACTTCGAAAATACTGTCCTCAACAGCTCTGCTTAGCAAAACCATGCCTGTGGCTTCCTTTAGGGAGTCAATCTATCTTGTATTTGATCTTCCTCTTTTACTGCTGCCTTCTAACTTTCCAGGCATTTTTTGTCTTTTTCAGAGTATCCTGTGCCCTAAGTATGTATGTATTTATGAATGTATGTACAGTGGGGTCTCTACTTAAGAACTTAATCCGTATTGGAAAGTGGTTCTCAAGTTGAAAAGTTCTTATGTTGAATCTGCATTTCCCATAGGAATGCATTGAAAACCATTTAATCCGTATCTGCTCTTTTCCGTCCATAGAGTATTGAATTTATACACTGCCCCATTAGTACAATACACTATTCTGGGCAGTTGACAATGACACAAACCCTCGCCTCTGGAACAATCTCCCCCTCTTCAGAAATCTGTCTGTCTCCCTCGCTGGGTATTTTTAAAGAACCAACTCTAGACCTGGCTCTTTAGGCAGGCCTTTGCTCCTGTCAATGCCTAATTTATTTGTTATTTTCAATTGTATTAATGTTGTTGTTTTATTTTTTATTATTCTTGAGCTGACCAAAGTAGACTTCGGTCCAGATGGGTGGGATATAAATTACAGTGGAGTCTCGACTTATGGTTGGCTCCATTTACGAACTTTTCTAGATCCGTACTTCTCTGGCCGCAAAGTTTCACTTTGACCTATGGACCAAAGTTTCACTTCTGGACCTATGGACCAGAAGAGGGAGGTGAGGAAAGTGCCAAATTCAAACTTGGCACTTTCCCCGCCTCCCCCTTCCAGTCCATTGGCTGTGGATCTGCCTCCGGATGCCTTCCAGGGCTTCTCCGGCGCCATGGGAGGTATCTCGGAGGTCCTGCCCCTATCGCTGACAGTGCTTCGGAGGCACTATTGGAGGTGGGGAGGACCCCCGAGAAGCCTCCCATGGCAGTGGGGAAGGTCTCCAGAGGTTCCCCCCCCGCCGACGCAGGCTTTCCCAGGGTGGACCGGGGCTACCAGGGAAGGGCTTCCCCCGGTAGGCCCGGTCTACTCCCTGGGAAGCCTGTGTCGGCAGGGGCGAGGGAGCTGCGAGAGGCCTCTGGCAGCGGTGCCGAAGCCCTCGGAGTCCACCAGCAGCGGCAATGATGGCGGCGGGGGACCCCTGAAAAGCTTCAGAAAGGTAAGTTCCCTTTTAATTTTTTTTTTCTGGGGGGCATTTTCTTAGGCATTTTTGACCTACGGACTTTTCGACCTACGGACCCCGTTCCAATACGGATTACTTCTGTAGGTCGAGGGTTCACTGTAAATAATTAAACAAACAAACAAACAAATTACGATAATACACACAGAAAAGGCCCATAGACTAGCCACAGAGGTGTAAATTCCAACTAACACACAGAATGCTAGGCCTCTCTGAAAAGAAGTGTTTTCAGTAGCTTTTTAAATGTTGGGAGGGAGGGAGGGAGGCAGGCTGGCACGAATCCACCAGGAATTGGTTCCAGAAGGTTGGTGCCACAACGAAGAAGGCCCCGGGTCTGGCAGACGACTTACTGGCCTCCTTTGGAGTAAAGACCCAGAAGAACAGGGTGTAGGAAGACCTAGTGGTGCTGGTAGATGACATTCGACAAAGGCGGTTTGATAAGTAGCAGACAGGACAGCTATTAATAGGAAAACGTCAGTTCCCACAAAAGAAATGACAAACAAATGGAATGACTTAATCCTTCTATATACAAGAAGCAGGGGACAACAATGTCTCAGCTGACGAGACCAGTGCTTTCCTTGTGACCTTCCCAACGGGAATTATTACTCCCATCAAGCCTCATCATTCATCGTTAGCTGGGGGAAAAACGGGAATCTTACCAAGAGAGGCCAGGAGGGCACAGTTCTCCTCCATGACTTCCCTGTGGAGGGATCTCTGGTCCGGATCCAAGAGGGCCCATTCTTCTGGGGTGAAGAACACAGCTACCTCCTCAAAGGTCACCAAACCCTACATGGAAAAGAAAACATTTCCTCCTCACAGCTTCCTTAAGATGATCTTCTAATCACATCTAAAACTGAGTGAAATGGGGCTTCTCCTGAAGGATTAAAAAAATCATATGCAGCACTCACAACCCTCTGAGGAGAACAAGTTTGATATAACCTTAGAACTGCTGAGCTGGAAGGGACCCGATAGATCATGGATTCCAGCCCCCTTTGAGGAGGCACCATAGGGGGGAATCAAACTCCCAACCTCTGGTTCTGCAGCCAGAGACCTAAAGCAACAAGGCCAGTGGAGGTGAGGGCATTCCAGTTGAACTATTCAAAATCTTGAAAGATGATGCTGTTAAGGTGCTACATTCAATATGCCAGCAAGTTTGGAAAACCCAACAGTGGCCAGAGGATTGGAAAAGATCAGTCTACATCCCAATCCCAAAGAAAGGCAGTGCCAAAGAATGCTCCAACTACCGGACAATTGCACTCATTTCGCACGCTAGCAAGGTTATGCTCAAAATCCTACAAGGTAGGCTTCAGCAGTATGTGGGCCGAGAACTCCCAGAAGTACAAGCTGGATTCCGAAGAGGCAGAGGAACTCGAGACCAAATTGCTAACATGCGCTGGATTAAGGAGAAAGCCAGAGAGTTCCAGAAAAACATCTACTTCTGCTTCATTGACTACGCAAAAGCCTTTGACTGTGTGGACCACAGCAAACTATGGCAAGTCCTTAAAGACCAGGACTTCACACACTTAACTACTCAAAAACCTGGGCTTGGAGAGCCCAAACTGCTTATTTTGGTTTCATCCAAATGAATTTGGTTGGTTTTTAAAAAATTGATTTCTATAATACCCATGTGACCAATAGTCAGCCTGGGCAGTTTACAAAAGTGGCTATACAGTAGGACGACCTTATCCACAGGATCAGTATCTACTGACTCACTTATCCGCAGTCTGAAAATATTAAAAATATTAAAAGAAAAATATCCAGAAAAAAAAACTATTTTCACATGTATTACCAGAACTGGCCACAAGAGGGAGCTCTGAATACTTGTTAGTGAAGAATACACAGGATGGTCTCTTGCAACCTCTAGTGGCCGTTTCTGGTAATATGTGTGAAAATACTGTACACTATTTTTCTGTTCTTTTTCCTTTTACCATGCTCTCTCTTTCTCTCTCGCTCTCTCACTAGCGTTCACTATTATCCATATTTTCACTAACCATATCCACAGGGGATATTGGGGGGTTTACCATAAAATAAAATAACACAAACATAATCAAAGTGAAAATTAACATTAATTTAACGTCAAGTGACAATTAAAAAGGTAAGCTGATACTCTCAGCAGCTATTTAGACAGCATGTTTTGATAAGCCTGCCAACATAAAAACGTTTTGAGGGTTTTCTTGTAGGTCCCTAAATAATTTTCTTTCCCTTCCTGGGCAGGGTGATGACCTGGGAAGAGAGGCTGTGAAAATCTCCCCATGATCCTTAACTCCTACCTCTTCTGGTTTCGCTCCATCACAAGGAAGAAGAGGCAACCCAGCAGATCCAGCCCCTGGGGGAGAGGAAAAGGCCTTATGAAACCAGTTATGTATGTACACCTCAAAAGTGTCGAAAACTAAGCCTTACGAACAAAAAGCACTTACCTCTCAATAGAGTGCACAGATCTGCACTGTAACCTTGTGTGGTATGTTTATTTATTATATACAGTGGTACCTCGCTAGACGACCTTGCAAAATGACGAATCCATATGACTATGAGGTTTTGCGATCGCTATAGCGATTTGCAAAACAGTGATTCCAATGGGTGATTTTTGCTGGACAATATTTTGGTCCCTGCTTCGCAAACCGTTACACGCAAGATGACGATTTTGGCACGGATCGGAGCTTTGCAAAACGGATGTTTTTGGGACCGATGCTTTGCAGGGCAGCCATTTTAACAGCTGATCGGCGCTTCGCAAAATGGCTTCCCTATGGGCGATCTTAACAAAATGACGACAACTTTTTCCCATTGGAACACATTAAACGGGTTTCAATGCATTCCAATGGGGAAAGGGTTTTCGCAAGACGATGTTTTCACAAGACAGCGATTTCTATGGAACAGATTATCGTCGTCATGCAGGGTACCACTATATTTATTTGAAATATTTTTAACTCACCATTCTCCTAAAAAATGACCCAAGGTAGGTTACATCATTAAAAACACAGTATTAAAAGCCAAAAAACCTGTAAATTATTCAAATGTTAAAAAAATAAATGGCAGTACATTAAAATGGGAGGTAGAAGCACCACTAAAAGCAGACTTAGAAGCATGAAAATATAAACCCTACTGTTTATTGTCTCCTAGACAGCCAGTCACTCAGAGAAAGCTTGCCTTCATCTTTTTCTAGAAGAATGGCAAAAAAGGGGCCCAGCCTGGCATCCAGTGGGAGGGAGTTCCAAAGTCTGGAAGCAGCCACAGAGAAGGCCCTCTCCCATGTCGCCACCATGCACACTTGTGAAGGTGGCGGAATCAAGAGAAAGGCCTCTCCTGATGATCTTAACACTTGACTAGGCTCATAAAAGAAGATACAGTCCTTGTAATAGCTTGGACCCAAGGCCATTTAGGGCTTTATAGGTTAAAACCAGCACTTTGAATTTATTTATTTATCCATTCGACTTGTATGCCGCCCGCACTCTGCAAGGCACAAGAAAAATTGTCCCCGAAAAATTGTGCCTGGAAGCAGATTGGCAGCCAGTGGAGCTGCTATTACAGGGGGCTTGGGTGATCCCTGTCACCAGGCTGCAGCATTTCGGATCCACTGAACCACAGGAAGCAGATCGGCAGCCAGTGGAGATGCTATTACAGGGGGCTTGGATGATCCCTGTCACTAGAACTAGTCAGCAATCTGGCTGCAGCATTTCGGATCCACTAAACCACTGCAGTTAAGAGTGCTAGACTGGGCCTCAAGAGATCTGGGTTGCTGTCCTCACTGTGCCATGAAATTCATTGGGTTGCTTTAATCCACTCATTCCTCTCAGCCTGATCTACCTCACAGAATGATGTGGTTCGTAACAGAGCTATGATATCTTAGACCTATTGAAGAAAATTGAGAATATGCAGTAAATAGAAGAAAGGCACCAACAAGAATTAGGTGATACAAGAAACACATGTGCCAGGATCCATCTCAAGCGTAATGGCCAGGGTTACTATAGAGCCGATTGTTTAAAAAGATGCAGGACCAAGTTTTCCCCCTCCTAAAGAAGGCAACACATTTTTGGAAGCCACGTCTTCCGCCACCGAAAGATTCACGGGACGTGAAAGCCGCCCAAGGTCCTCATCCACACTTCAGAAGGGGAGATCAAGCTCTTAGCAGTTATCCTTCGCTCGCCTCGTTGCACCTCACTCACCTCCCCGCTTGATCCCTCCTTGCTCAGGATTCCATCTTGCGTTCAATGGATCCTTCCTGGCAACGCAGAAACCCAGGCGACTTTCCTCAGAGAGATTTTCCGCCTGCCACCGCAAGGAAGACGACGAACGTGAACAGAAAAGGAAGGATAGAGGACGACAAGCTGCTAGGTGGGATTCGGAGTTGGGCCTAGGGGACATTGGGCCCCTGATCTTTCCAAAAGGAAGGCTTGGCATAAAGCTTTATAACATGTTGGAAATTGTTATTTCATATTATTTGTTTGTTTGTTTGTTTGTTTGTTTGTTTGTTTGTTTGTTTGTTTGTTTGTTTGTTTGTTTGTTTAATATGCCATCCACACTACCCAAAGGTCTCTGGGTGGTGTTTTGTGAGCCGCCCAGAATAGACTATGTCTAAATGGGCGGCATATAAGCTAAATAAATAAATAAATAAAATAACATCCTCCCGTTTGTTTCTGACCCATTAGGGCCCAAGGCTCTCCAGGGGGCCTTGGACTACAACTCCCAGAAATCCTGGCCAATAGAGCTAATGGTGAAGGCTTCTGGGAGCCATAGTACAAGAACAGCCGGGGACCCAAGGTTGGGAGTCACTGAGTTAAAATAAGAGCTGGCTACCTCTGGGGTTCGGAGGAGGTGCATTCACCCCCCAGAGTCCACCCAGTGCCTCAGTGAACACTTCAGGCAATACGCATCTTCTTTTTTAAGAGTCATACCCTCCCAAAACCTCTAGGATTCCAACAGCTTGCCTTGTGTCATACTATTAAGGGCCAATTGAGGGGCCTGCACCAAATCCCAGTGGAGGGGGAATAAATTTGGTGATGTCTGTGGAGTGTAAGAGGGCAGTGGATGCCAAAATAAAAAAAGGAGGGTGGAGGGACAGAGGATGCTAGTGTTCACATATGCCTCACTATTAGGATGAAATGCCCTCACCTTCTGCTTCTCTTTGGCCTGGCTCAGGAGGAAGCCTTCGGCCAGGGCCACCGCCTGGGAACTGGTCTCCGCTCCACATTCCCTCACCCATATGGACATCTCCGGGGGAAGGATGGCCAGGAACTGCTCCAGGATCACCAGGTCCAGGATCTGAGCCTTGGTGTGCCTTTCTGGCTTCAGCCACCGACGACAAAGATGATAGAGTTGGGCACAAGCCGCTCGGGGACCCTCCGCTTCCTTGTAAGAGAACTCCCTGAAGCACCACTGTTGTACCTCTGAACTGGCAATGTTGTCACTCATCACCTTCTGCATTTTACAGAATCCGTCTCTGCGCTTGTAGTCTTGACTGCATCAGGGCCATTTTCTGCTTCAAGGCTACTCTGTTCTAAAAATGAGAGCAGAGTCAAAACAACATTCGCCCTCAAGGCAAACACCGTCTTAGCAGCTGTATTAATAATGAACACAACTAGACAGACAAGAGAAAATGTTTTCCCCAAGAAAACGCAGGAGAAGAGGAGGGCTGAGGAGGAAGCTAGAGATGGCAAGGAAGTCCTTCCCCCAGGATAAAACTATTCCTCTCCACAAGAATGAGAAAACCGGGCTTACTCACCACAACACTCTTAAGCTGCTAACCCCTGTGCCATTCCTTCTGCCAAGATCTGCTGGAGAAATAATAAAAGAGAAAGAGCTAGTTCCAAAACTAACAATCTCTTGCTTTTGAATAATAAAATAATCATATGCCATCATGTTGACTCTGACTTTGGGTGACCTTCTTTAGAGTTCTTGCAGGTAGAAAAATACTCAGAAGTGGTTACCCATTCCCTTCTTCTGTGGGGCATCCTGGGACTTTGCAGCTTGCCCAAGACTACCCAGGCTGGCTCTACCCACAGAAGGAACAGTGGAGGAATTGAACTCCCAACCCGAGTTGGCTCCGCAAACAGGTACCTCAACCACTGAGCTATCTGGCCAGGTCCATCATCATTCTGACTTATGGTGACCCTTTTTGGGGATTTCCAGGCAGAGAATAGTGAGAAGTGGTTTCCCCCGTCCCTTCTTCTGCGGGGGTATAAGAGCTAGTTCCAAAACTAACAATCTCTTGTTTTTGAATAATATAATAATCATATGCCATCAAGTTGACTCTGATTTTGGGTGACCTTCTTTAGAGTTTTTGCAGGTAGAAAATGCTCAGAAGTGGTTACCCATTCCTTTCTTCTGTGGGGCATTCCTGGGACTCTGCAGCTTGCCCAAGATCACACAGGCCGGCTCTACCCACAGGAGGAACAGTGGAGGAATTGAACTCCCAACCCTGGGCTCCACAAACAGATACCTCAACCACTGAGCTATCCAGCCAGGTCCATCGTGTGCCCTCAAGTCTGTACTGACTTATGGTGACCCTTTTTAGGGTTTTCCAGGCAGGGAATAGTGCTCTCTTCTTCTAGGGGTATTTCTGAGGCTGTGCAGCTGGCCCAAGGCTACCCAGGCTGGCTCTTCTCTCAGGAGGGGAATCGAACTCATAACCTCTAGCTCTGCAGCCAGATACCTAAACTCCAGAGACATCCAGCCAGCTGCTGGTTTTGAAGGATTTCCCCCTCCAAAAAAATTCCCTTACTGGGTTTGGAGTTGGGGGGTCCTTCCATCCCATTCCTCCTCTTTTTGTACCCTCATCATCATCCTCCCCACCTTCTCCTGCAGCATTTGAATGGGCTCAACACCCCCCTCATCCAGGATCAACTTGGAGGGGGGTGGGGTGGGAGAGGAGCAGGCTGCTCCCTGTATCCCAAAGGGAGATGCTGCCCGCTTCCCTCCAGGGGAAGGAGAAGGGGGAGGCAGCCAAAGGCTGTGTTGGAGCCGGAGGGGCGGGGCGCTGCGCTGGAGGACACGCCCCCTCCCCATTCTAGGCTTCCTCTTCCCCTCTAGGAATCCCACCTTTGTGGATTTAAACCTTTAGTCGCTGCATCGTTTTTTCTATATCTCCCCAAAATAAGATCAAGGAACATTCCACTGAGTTTTGACTTCTCGGGGATTGGAATCTGTTGCTCCTTCCTAGGGATTGAACGACTCCCAGCCCAGAAATCCCTCTGCTGTTACCCCTGCTTCCTTCCCCTCTACTTCTTACAGTATGTGCAAACTCCATCCAAGGAATTTTTTATCCAAACCCCTTCTTTACCTTGGATTTGCAGGATCAACCCCGCCTCGACCCCCCACCTAAAATGCTCGACTTTTAATTTTTTTTAATAAAGGAATTTGGCTTGTTTTCGAGACATCTCTTAATTTCCCCTCTTCCACTTTTGTCTGGGATGCCCGCCTTGTTTTCCACTTCCCGTCACGTGACTGATGCCAATCCAGGCTCCTGGCAAAAGAAACGTAGACGACAAGGACAAACTTGCCCCGTTTATGCCCCTGAGCACCTGGCTCAGAAGCCCAGACTAGCGACTGTCAACAAATGCATGAGTCCAAGAGGGACAATCCCTGAAGTGGTGCTCTAGTCCGATGGTCCCTAACCTTGGACCTCCAGATGTTCTTGCACTACAATTGTTGTAAGCCGTCCAGAGACCTCTGGGTAGAGTGGGCGGCATATAAAAAAACAAACAAACAAACAACAGCAACAACTCCCAGAAGCCTTCACCACCACCTCTGCTGGCCAGGATTTCTGGGAGTTGAAGTCCAAGAACATCTGGAGGCCCCAAGGTTGGGGGAATCACTGCTTACGAAAAAAGTTGGCAATGTTTTTATATACCACTAAAAAAAAATAATCATAGACTATGCAAGCTTTTGTGGATCAAAAAAACCACTTCGTCAGGCTTGTCACTTTTGGATGTTAAAAGTCCAAAAGTTCATGGCAAGATGGATTTTGCCAGGCACGGGTTTTTTTTTGTTTTTTTTTAACATCTTAAATCAGATGCAGGCGGATGGATTTTGCCAGGAAAGTTACGCCTCGATGTAAAGCCCATAAGCCCTTGACAAGGCAGATTTCACCAGGTATGTCTTTATCAGGGCAGTGTGAAAAGAGGCAGGCTGCATTAGCACTGTTGTTTTAAAGTTACAGCAGAGGCATATCCAATCTGTGAAAGTGTGCATATTATATGATTTTGTTTGTTTGTTTTAGCGGTCTATAAAGGTATAGCTTATACTTGCATTTGAACATTTTTGTCTTTGGAACTAATATCTCTGAGCCTTGGCTCCTTGAATAAGAAGATTTTGACATAAATTCTTCAGATTTGTTTCTTGGCTTGTTTGGGTTAGAGAAACTTTGGGGGACTTTATTTTCTGTGGGTAACTCCTGCTCCCCCCCCCCTATGTTCATGCATGGAATTCATGGACACAGCTATTTTTGGAGTCCTCTCAGTTCAAGAGCTGCTTCTCAGGAATCTACACATGCGCAGAGCATGGAGAACTAACAAGACAAGATTGAACAGTAATAATGGGGGACAGGGAAAAAAAGCAGAAACAGCTACTATAGGGGCCTTGTGATGCAGTGGTTAAACTGCAGTACTGCAGCCAAAACTCTGCTCACAACCTGGGTTCAATCCCACGTAGCCAGCTCAAGGTTCACTCAGCCTTCTATCCTTCTGAGGTTGGTAAACTGAGTACACAGCTCACCATGGGAGGGGGGCAATGTGTAGCCTGTGTAGCCATCCATCCTTCTGAGGTTGGTAAACTGAATACACAGCTCATCATGGGAGGAGGGGCCAATGTGTAGCCTGCATAATTAACTTGTTAATCACCCAGAGAGTGCTTTAAGTGCTATATGGTGGTATACAAGCAGCACAATTTCCTTTTTTGCTTTGCTTTACGGAACAGTTACATACATTGCCTCTGTCTTTTCTTAAAAAGAAAACAGTGTTTAACCTTTTGCAGGTAAAATAAGCGAGTGGAGGTCTCTTCTAAAGTTTGAGAATTCTTGACGAAGAGGTTGCTGAGGTTGGGAGCAAATGCCTTTCTCATGTTTGGGAAGAAAAAGAAAGATAGACAATCCAGACCATCAACCAATCCCCTTAATATTAACACCAGGGACGTTGCTTGAACAGATCATTAAACAGTTGGTCCATGACTACTTAGAAAACAGTATTATGATTTTTTTTTGAAATAAATTAATAAATATTGTGATTTCCAAGACCTAGCCCAAGTTTCTCAAAAATATATGGTGCCAGACAATCAAATCTCTTTTCTTTAACAGGGCCACAAGAATGGTAGATAAGGGAAATGCTGCAGAGATAGTACATCTTGATTTTGGAACGCTATGGACAAGCTCCCCTGTCAGAGTTTGAAAATTTGAATTTACAAAGTGTTAAAATGATTATGAGAGGTGTAGAAAAAAAGATTCTTTGAAAATGCAAATTCTTTTAAAATTGCTTGACCAGTTGTTTATGAAAAGGCACTAGCATAGAATCAGCAAGTTTTAGAGCAGAGTCTAAGAAACAAGGCCACCCTATACATCAACATTAGAAAGGTATTCCATTCAACGTGTGCCAATCTTGGCATAAAAGTAAACAAAAAGGGGAATGAGGTAATGAAGTGAGTGAAATTGTTCAAATGTTGAAAATATTAAATAGGCAGCATTCATAAGTCTTACAGTACTCTCTACTGGTAATCATAATTAATTTAGTACAGTGGTGCCTCGCTAGACGATGATAATCCGTTCCACTGAAATAGCTATTTAGCGAAATCATTGTCTAGCGCAAAAGTAATGAAGAGTTCCTACTGGGGAACGTTTCTTTGGAACATCAAACTCTGGTAACTGGCAATTACAGGCAATTACAGTTTGTATACAGAAAGGGAGAAAATCAAAAGAATTTAAAGAGTATAAATACATGGAAACAGACAGGCACAAATGAGAGAGAGAGGGAAAGCTCTGTCGTACATTGGGCACTGGGCGTGAAAAAAATAAAAATCAGCAAGGATTTTTTATTCTAGAAACCAAGCCAGTCAAATATGAACCAGACCAGGCTACGGTTACATGGATTTGTAGTTGTTTGACAGACTGTACCCAAAGATTGGACTCTGATGGTTGCTTTTCAGGTGAGGTGCTACAGGGATTCTGCTTTAAGCCCTGATGTTGTTCAATATTTGTATAAACGAGTGGTGCAGAATTTTGCTAGGAAGTTTTGTTGTTCTGGCATGAATATTTGAACCTGAGAGGATTCACTAAACCAGTTAACGTTAGGACAACCCTCTCCCACAAGCACCACATGAAGGTGTGCCAATAATATTAAATATGTCCCACATAAGGACAGAAGTGGAAAATGTGGAAATATGTAGCAACCTGGCATGCAATGCATGGACTAATTACTAACTCCCTTGGTCACATGGTCCCCTTTATTTATTAATTTAATTAATTTATTTGATTTATATCCCACCCATCTGGTATATTCTACCACTTTAGAGGAGAAAACCTCTCTAGGACAACCTAACTTGTTGGTTGTCTTGTTCTTAAGCAACCAATCAACAGCTCTCTTTCCTTCCCGCCTCTGGGGGAGGGGCTTAAACTTCTTCACTCTGAGGCAGTTGTGTTTTCAGTTAGTGCTTGTCCTCCATCATGTGAAGCAGACCTGTTCAGCTCTCTCCTCAGTCATGAGTCTGAGAGAAAAAAAACAGTTTTCTATAATTTTAACATTAAATTATTCTTCTTTTCACTACTGACAGTTCCATGTTTTCATGTCAAGTTTTTGAGCACATAATTTTGCTGATCGATTGGTTATCCTATTTTATCCATCTATGCAGGCTTACAGTTATAAGCAAGTTCCTAAGAATATATGGAGAACTTGCTTATAATTCTAAGCCTAGAAAGACAGGTATATCAACCCCACAAAACTCAAGAGAAAATTCCCACGTGGACCACATATACAACGCAACATGGCTCAACCATCACATCTCTGCCTCAGAAGAAGTCCAACCACTGCACTGCAGTGATGAGGCTTATTCACTCTTTTTATCCCCAGTAGCCAGGGGTCTTACATTGGAATAAAGGCACCAATAATTTCTGTTCTGCACCAAAAAGCCCATGAGACAGCTGAAAAGGGTAACTTAACAGGAAATGATCAAAGGAAAAAAAGACACCCAAATAAAGCTGGTGACTGTAAAATACATGTTTAGTTATAGACAAAGCAGTGCACTCTTCAGGCGGCCGATTAGCAGAGGTTGCACATAGATGGATATGACATCTCTGGCTGTCTCTTAACTTTATTCAAAGACTATGTGGCCATAAGCGGTATTTGAGGTTTTTAGGGCCTCACTGATGTGCCACTCTCAACCCGCCAGCTCTTCCTGTTCTTTACATCATGCCCAGCAGGCTGGTTGATATGCAGTGGCAGGTAACAAATGGATGCACTCCTGGGAGGTGCCTATCCTGACTGTATGTCTCTAGTCAGGTATGCCTTTGCAGGATTCAGAGTCTCTCAGCTTAGCGTATCCACAGGATCACAATCTCTTAAGTCATAAAAGTATCAGCAGAATTACCCTGAAAGGCTACTGACAATCACTACTAATATAGTAGAAAAATCTACTGCAAAAAAATCAAGGGTCTGACTCAGGACAACACAATCTCTTATATCCCAACATATGCACCTGGACAGATTTACCATTGTTAGCCATGGTCTAGTCACTAGAGAACAACAAATCACGCCCCAAACTGTTGACTTTTGAATGGCCTCTTTCTCATAGGGAGTCTCTGGTACACCAGAAGGTGTGAACTCTGAGCAAAACATTTCCTCCAATGCTAGTCTTTGTATGGTTTCCCTCCTGTGTGCACCCTATGTTGGATCAGAAGGTTTTAATTCCAAGGAAAACATTATTCATACTTGGGACACCTCTGGGTGGTTTTTTCAATGTTCTAAAATATCTGTATTCTAACTGAACCACTTCCAACACCTCAAACATCTGTAAGATTTCTCTCTTCTGTCAACTGCCTGATAGCTCAGAAGGCTGCATTTTTCTAGCCTTTTTCTAACCTGTGTGGATGCTTTGGTGTGCTATAAACTGAGATTTCCTAGTGAAACATTTTTCACAGTCCTGGCATTTGTACGGTTTTTCTCCTGTGTGGATTCTCTGATGTGCCAGAAGATTTGAATTCTGAGCAAAACATTTCCCACACTCCTGGCATTTGTACGGTTTTTCTCCTGTGTGGACTCTCTGATGGCTTGAAAGTGTTGCCTTCCTAGTGAAACACTTCTCGCATTCCTGGCATTTGTACGGTTTCTCTCCTGTGTGGACTTTCCGATGAGCCAAAAGGTTTGAGTTCCGAGCAAAACATTTCCCACATTCTTGGCATTTATATGGTTTCTCTCCTGTGTGGATCCTCCGGTGGATCAAGAGGTTCGCATTCCGAGCAAAAGACTCCCCACAGTCCTGGCACTGGTACGGTTTCTCTCTGGTGTGGACAGTCTGGTGAATCAACAGAACTGATTTTGTACCAAAACATTTCCCACAATCCTGGCATTTGTACGGTTTCTCTCCTGTGTGGACCCTCTGATGTGCCAGAAGGCTTGAACTCTGAGCAAAACATTTCCCACATTCCTGACATTTGTAGGGTTTCTCCCCAGTATGGATCCTTTGGTGCCTCAAAAGGTTTGGATTCTGAGCAAAACATTTCCCACACTCCTGGCATTTGTAGGGTTTCTCCCCTGTGTGGACTCTCTGGTGGATCAGAAGATTCGCATTTCGATTAAAACATTCCCCACACTCCCAACATTTATATTCTTTCTCTCCTGTGTGCCCTTTTTGATGCCTCAGAAGGCTTGCATTCCGGGAAAAACATTCTCCACATTCTTTGCATTTGAATGGTTTCTCTCTCATCCGGAGTCTCTGGTGCTTTTGGAGGTGTGAATTGTGAGGAAAACATTTCCCGCACTTCTGGCATTTGTACGGCCCCACCCCTGTGTGAAATCTCTGATGCCTCAAAAGGTTTGAATTCTGAGCAAAAGATCTACCACACTCCTGGCATTTGTATGGTTTCTCTCCTGTGTGGACTCTCTGATGAATGACCACGTGTGCATGACGGGCAAAACATTTCCCACACTCTTGGCATTTGTAGGGTTTCTCTCCAGTGTGGACTCTCTGGTGCACTAGCAGGTGTAACATCTGAGCAAAAGATTTCCCACACTCCTGGCATGTGTATAGTTTCTTTCCTCTGTGGACTCTCTGGTGGATCAGAAAGTTTGAATGCTGAGTAAAATACACCCCACACATCCTGCATTTGTACAGTTTCTCTGCTGTGAGGACTGCCTCTTGATCCAAATGGGAATTTAGAGGAGAATGTATTCCACGCCCCTGGCATCTGTATGCTTTCTCCTTCCCCTGGACCTTCTGGTGGTTCAGCAGGTACAATTTGCTGTCAAAATGCTTTTCCGGTCCTCCACCTCTAAAGCATTCCTTTATAGTGTGAGTTCTCCTGTGAAGCACCAGTGTCATTTTCAGGGAGAAACACCTCCCGCAAACTGTGCATTTATAAGATTCCAATCTGGTACAACTCTCCCCTTTTGTATGGGTTTGCAGGTGTCCGTCAAGGCCAGTTGTGTGCATAAAATACTTCTCACATTTGCCCCATACATTTCTTTTCCTCAAGTTACCTGTGGCGAAAAAGAGAAACAAACACAATGTTTGATTCCCAAGAATGAATGAGAAAGAAAATCTGGAAAAAGATACAGCAATAATTGCCACAATCCTGAAACACAATGAGTGGTTTTTCAAAAAGATGAGATACCATGTAACTTTTTCTCCTTCATAGGTGCCTGGGGCTTAGAGAGAGGGAATGAGCATGACAGAGAAAAGTAGAGTGAAAACAGAAGAAAATAAACATGTGGGGAAGCTGGAACTCATCAGTTTTTAACCTAAACAAAGTAGGATACCTTGGTCCTGTAGTCAATTAATCACTTCCTCATCATACTTTTTTTTTTAAATTTCAGCTGTTCTACAGTGATCCTCCCACAGGGTCTTTAGCACAGCTCTGCCCTCTCATTCACCATCTTGTGGCTTTAAAAAAAACATCCTGCAAATATCCTAACAGTATGAAAACCCCCTCCCTATTCCCTTGTGGAAAAAGAAGGAATTTTCACCACTCCAGACACCGATCCTGGGATCTCTTTCTCCCATCAGGCCTCACCATTCATGCGGGGAACAGAAATTCAAGAAAAGCTGGAGGTTCATAGAATCCCCAAACCCAACTGACAATCTCACAAGGGCAGAATTTCGTTCTGACCAGGAAGCACAATTGTTGTGATTAGCGTTACCATGTTACTTCTGAACAGAAAACAATCATCAGCCAAAGGAGAAAAGGGACTCTTACCAAGAGAGGCCACAATTGTACGATTTTCCTCCATGACTTCCCTGTGGAGGGATCTCTGGTCACGATCCAGCAGTGCCCATTCCTCCTGGGTAAAATGCACAGCCACTTCCTCAAAAGTCACCGGGCCCTAGATGAACAAGAAAACATGTCCTCCTCAAAGCTTACGAGAAGATTATCTGTTAATCAATTAAAAACCCAATTAAAAACATGGTTGTTCATTCAGGCCTTCCCTCCAGCCAAGGCTTAATTTTTTTTCTTTTCTTTCTCCTACTTTATATATTTTTTTAATTTTATTGTAGCTGTTACTGAACCAGCATGTATTTATCTGTGTTTTATTGTCTGTTTTTGTATGGAAGCCGCCTAGAGTGTACTGGTAGCCCAGATAGGTGGGGCATAAATCAAATCAAATCAATCAATCAATCAATCAATCAATCAATCAATCATCCTACTTTGGGCAGATAAGGTGAAGACAGGATTCCTTGGAAAAGACAATAATGCTGGGAAAGTTGGAACAGATGGACTGAGTCCCTAAAAGACACCATGGGCTTGAGTCTACAAGAGCTGAGAAGGGCAGTGGAGGACAGGACATTTTGGAGAGTGCTTATTTATAGGGTTGCCATGAGTTGGAGGTGATTTGACAGCACATTATAACATCTGTCAACGACATCCAAAATGCTAGCTAAATAGACCTGTATTGGGGAAGGCCAAATAGGAGATGGACTGACTCCCTCAAAGTGACCATTGGATTGAGTCTACAAGAGCTGAGAAGGACAGTGGAGGACAGGGCATTTTGGAGAGTGCTTATTTATAGGGTCGCCATGAGTTGGAGGTGATTTGACAGCACATTATAACATCTGTCAACGACATCCAAAATGCTAGCTAAATAGACCTGTATTGGTCCTGTGCTGCAGGATTAAGGTGTCTCGTGCAGCCTTCACAAACATGCTAGAAGAGAACAATTCTTGCCTTTTCGCAAGCAGACAGAAACAACATCCAAAATGCTAGCTAAATAGACCTGTATGGGTCCTGTGCTGCAGGATTAAGGTGTCTCGTACAGCCTTCACAAACATGCTAGAGTGAGATTCATTTGGGACTAGAAAACAGTGGTAGGAAAATCCATTTGTTTTTTGTTTGCTTATTGTGGGTTTTTCGGGCTCTTTGGCCATGTTCTGAAGGTTGTTCTTCCTAACGTTTCGCCAGTCTCTGTGGTCAGCATCTTCAGAGGACAGCACTCTGTGCTCTGGTGTAGTTTGCTTGCGAGTGGAGTATTTATGGCTGTGAGATCAGCTTTTGTCCTTTCCAGGAGATGGGTGTGTCTTGTTGTAGCTGTATTGTTGTGATAAGGAGGAGAGATTATCTGTCACTGTGATTGATGGGTGTCATTAGCTGGTCTTTTGTGTGTAGTGATCCCCGGTCCTTGTGGCTGGGGAAAGTTCGTTGACCTTTTGCACGCTGTATTTTTCAGCATGCAAACAACAAACAAACAATGTTTGTTTTGTTTGTTTGTTTGATAGCTGGAACATTTCTTGAAGCTCAATAAGCTTCTCTTTGATTAGGAAGATATTAGTCTATTTTGGATCAAGAGGCTCAAATACACAGGGATTCAGCCCAATGTTTGTTTGTTGGTTTACTAAAACCAATATGAAGCCCAAGGTGGAAAGACGAGATAGAGAGAGCTGGGTGGCTCCCTGCGTGCCTTTTCTCTCCCCTTACCTGATCTGCTTCCATTTCTTCATGAAGAGGAACAACTAGAGGAGTACCTATGGCCACAACGGTTTCAGCCTCTATGTGAGAGGGAAAAAGGGGGATTGAAGTCAGTCGCTTACATATCTCAGAGACAAAACTATAATCTTATGAACACGAGCTAGAAAATAACTCCCCTGCTGAGAATTTTCCCGTAAGTTGTGGTATGAAATTAATTGGGTGACCTCGATCTACTGTACTCTAGTCTGTCAACTTGACCTTCCTCGTAGGATTACTTGGTTAGTAAGAAAGCCAGGAAGTCTTGAGCACCATGGGAAAAAATGGGGCATAGAAATATCAGTAACAAATGCACCGATAAGAATAAGTGATGCAAGTTTAAATACACATGAGATAGATCTGGTGCTCACTGTGACCCTGGGTAGCTAAAGCCTAAGGAGGAATTCTTAGCGCTTTGTCTTTTAAAGGAATCGGCTCCATGGTAACACTAGGCGTTTGTTCACAGGCACTGCCTGTTATCTCCCTAACTGCACATGGGTTTCCAGATTTCTCCTACAACAAATTTCTATTTTTGTAGTTTCGACCTTCTTTTTCTTTCCTTTGACATAGGGACAGAACTCTGTTCACTCAATCTTCTGGCCGCAAATCAAAGGGCAAGTTTCCATGTATGAGGTTCCCCCACCACTTAATGACAGCCACAACGTTTTGGACTGGGGATAAAGCCCAGAAGCAAATGACTTCCGCCACCAAAAGATTCACGGGACAAGAAAGCAGCCCAAGGTCCTCATTCACACTTCAGAATGGGAGATCAAGCTCCTAGCAGTTATCCTTGGCTCGCATCGTTGCACCTAACTCACCTCCCTGCTTGATCTGTCCTTGCTCAGGATTCTTTCTCAGGTCCAATGGCTCCTTATCTATGACACGGTGGCCTGATGGAAAATGGCTCTGAGAAACGCCATCAACCTGCAACAGTAGGAAGGATGCAAAACATGGAATGAAAATCAGTAACAAAGGAATGAAAGAGGCAAATACAGTGGTGGCTCATTTAACCATTGCCTCGCTTAACGAGGAAATCGCTGTACGATTAGGTTTTTGCAATCGCTTTTGCAATCGCAAAACGATGGTTTAAATGGGGTTTTTCCGCTTTGCGATGATCGGTTCCCTGCTTCGGGAACCGATTTTCACTTTACGACGATCAGCAAACAGCTGATTGTTGGGTTTCAAAATGGCTGTCGGCTGAAGAAAATGGCCCGCCGCTGTTTTTAGGAAGGCTTTTTCGCTTAACGGGCACCAGAAAATGGCTGCTGTATGGAAGATTTTCACTGGACGAGCAGGTATTCAGCCCATTGGAACACATTGAACGGTTTTCGATAGGTTTTTTTTATTTTTTTTGACGACATTTTCGCTCTAGAGCGATTTTGCTGGAACAAATTAACGTCGTCAAGTGAGGCACCACTGTAACTTGCTGAGTGGGATTTGGACTTGGAGATATGGGACATTTGGCCCCTGGTTTTTTCAACAGGCACTTGGAGCAACGTTTTACAATTGTAGACTCGTGCTCTGTCTAGAACCCCAATCTTGCTTCAAAACAGAGTCATTCTCCCCATGTGTGGGCCTGTCAAAGGCAATTTCAGGGATATATTACAAAGTCCATTGGAAAAGGGGGGTACAGGGGGCAAGTACTCTCCACATGTGCCTCAGAGCCCGCAGGGGGAAATGCTCTCACCTTCTGCTCTTCCTGATTTTTCTCCTCTCCCTGACTCAGAAGGAAGCCTTCGGCCAGGGCCACCGCCTGGGAACTGGTCTCCGCTCCACATTCCCTCACCCAGCTGGACATTTCTGGGGGGATGATGGTCAGGAACTGCTCCAGGATCACCAGGTCCAGGATCTGAGCTTTTGTGTGTCGCTGTGCCTTCAGCCACTGATAGCAAAGATAGTGGAGTTGGGTGGAAGCCTCTCGGGGTCCCTTGACCTCCTGGTAGAACTGCCTGAAGTGCTGTCGTTGTGCTTCTGAGGTGACGTTTTCGTTCAGGATCTTCTGCACTGTTCCTTTCCAGAATTCCTCACTCCTTCCAAACTTGGGGGCACCGAGGCCTTTTCCTGCTGCAGGATCAGCTGAGAGTTGTGTGGTCATTTCCACTCTGTGCTCCAAGGAAATGAAAACAGAGTCAAAACACTTCTTCTCTCACAAGCAATGTTGTGTAAGGCCATATAGCCCAAAATTTGGCAAGCCGAGACGGGGCTTTGTTAATAATGAGAATATTGTACAAGGGAAAGCATAGAGGAGTTCAGCTAGCCATCAGGTCTTGTCCTCAAGGAAAGGGAGGAGAAGTCCTGGACTCAAATGGGAGCTCATGAGAGGCATCTTTTCCCTGGGAACCCCAGACCCACACCTCTCATCTCCCAGAGAATGAGAAGATGATGAGGCTTATCCAACCCCCCCCCCAAAAAAAACGTCCTTCTGCTACCTACCCCTCTGTGGTTCTATCTGCCACGATCTGCAGGAGAAACAGAAAAAAAGAAAGCGAGTTGAAAAACTGACAACCTGCTGCTTTTATAAAGGATCCCCCAAATCCCCTGCCTGGGGGGGGAGGCAGCCTATAAGCCACAAGGTGCTGGTTTGGAATTGGGGTGGTGGTGTTTCCTACTCATGCCCCCACCCCAAAATCCTCTCCTGCCGCCTTTGAACGGACTCACCATCACACACACAAAAACTGATGAGGGGGGGAAATCTCCCTAAATCTCAAAGGGAGACCTAACCCTTTGAAACGCTGAAGCTTCGCTTTCCTCCGGAGGGTTAAAAAAGGAGACAGGAAGAGGCTCTTTTCAAAGAGGGAACAATTTGCTCTGACGGACGAGACCACACACAGGGGATTTCCCTTCTCCTCTAGGAATCGCTTCTCTATGCACTTAACCCTTAACCGCTGGGTTCATTTCTCTGAATCTTCCAAAATCCAGGACCTCACAGAGCAAAATAGTTACTACGTAGTTACCAGATAATCCACCCCTTTTCTGTCATTAATAGCCACCTACCAAAGCGAGTCAATTACTCACTCAGGAGACGTTAATAAAAACAAGTTTCATTTTACTTACAAATATGAATACAGTATATTAAAAATACGCAGTAAGTCCTGATTTAATTGATGGCACATGATTACTATTGTCATACCTAGAGTAGTGCGGGACTAGGACTCAGTCATGGAAACAGGGAAGTGGAGCCACTAAAACCAAAACTCAGATATCCCACTTACCTGGAAAACCCTGTTAGGGTTACTGTAAGTTGGTTTAGACTTGATGGCACGTGATAACAACTAACAAAATATTGGGTTTTAACAACTCTGCTTTTGTAGCCTTTTAACAGACATTTTTCTACCAACCACAATCAATGGGCATGAACGGTCTCTCTCCGAGGTCACTGAAATGGCCAAATATGATATCATGGGTTCACAATCCACGCTCATTTCTGTTCTCTGTGAATTCAACTGACAAAAATTTCCCAGTAAGGAAAAATTTGTATAGTGGGCAGCCTTGGGTGCCTTCTCTGCTCTACCATCCTGCCTATGTTTGATGCTTCTCATTTCCATCATATTCTCGGTATGTTTCAGCAAACATACCTAGAATATGATGCCAGGTTTCTGTCCTGAGGACCCTTAAATGTACAGTTTGATGTGCTTGGTCAAGAGGGCCCAGCACACTTGCAAAGGTCCCAAACAAAACACCTGTCTCCCCAGCGACTGGATGCTGGCTAGGGTCAGCTACCAGGCAACCGGCCCTACCGTTAGCCATGAGGCAGGTGCCACAAGTGGCAAAGAACAGGAAACAGCAGTGCAGGGAACTGATGGAAGGGAAGCTAAGTCAGGGCTAAGGAATACGGGCAGTTATTGTTGTAGTTTACAACCTCGCATGCTGCCCGTAGTTTGTTTGGGTGGGATGGACCTTTCTAGGCTAAGGTGACTGTCAATCAATCCACCACTGGCCAATCATTCCTTCTCATCTCTGAATTTAAAGACAGACCCGTCTCTGCTGAGTCTTTCTTCTCTCTGTTTTGTCTGTTGGAGGCTGGTTGTTTGCTAGTTTGCTGTTCCCAACTGTAAGTAATGAAACATTTTTATTCCTTGTACTAGTAAAGTCTCAGCAGTAACAACGAAGGGATACCAAAACCATATTCAGCAAACTGAGCAGCTCCCAAGTTTTGACAGCCAGTAATGCTCTTGAAATAAAGACATATAATCCCCATGCGTCTTGCTCTAATGACTATGAGATTAACGTTTTTCAGACAGTGGCCCCAGAATATATACGCAGTAGCAAATAGACACATTTTATTAATGTATACACATGCAAAAATAAACCCAGGAATGCACAGAATAATCAAAATATACCATGGTAGAAATGAAACTTTTGGGTGCACCAATCAAACTAAGACTCATTAATTTTTATTTTATTTTCAACATATATAGCACGGTCTCGTTTCTGTTCTAGAGTATGGAATGTTTTCACATTAGCCCTGTGATTTGCCAACTACTCCATCACATGTTGGTTCTCCAATTAAGATGTGTGAGATCCACCAATGTGTTTTAGCAATTCCAAGCAAGAATCCATATTTGCCTTGGATCCTTGAAAAAGAACAAAGGTGAAGAGCGAGTGGATCGCCCAAGGTTACAGAGTGAACCTTTAGGCTGTTACAGTTTTTGTGATTGATCATCAAGTCACTTCTGATTTATGGTGGCCATAACAGGATTTAAGGTCCATGAAATGCTGAGGAACTGGTTTACCCTTGCCACCCAATTGAGTTTTCTCCTAGCTCAGGAGAACTCAGATTTCCGAAGTCTTAGTCAGACATTGCATCTTCTACACCACACTGGCTCTCAGGGCAGAATCAGGGATTTGAACACAGGTCCCGCCAGCTGTAGTTCTTGTCTATCAGTCCAAACACAGCCCCAGTACTCATGAGTTCAAATGCTTAATGGGAGATTTAAAAGTTTTTCTTTATAAATACAAATAGGGATCACCGAAAGACCATCATTTCCCTCACTTTTTGGCACTAGAACATCTTTCAATTCAAAATCTGGAAAACCTGCATTATTGATGTGGACACTCTATGTGTGGAGGCTCTAAAGCCACACACACATTTCTGTGAATTCTGACCAGAAAACAGACATTCCACACTCCTGGTAGTTTGTATTACTTCTCTTGTATGTGGACTCCCTAATGGATTAGAAATCCTAAACTCTGGGGGAAAAAATCTCCCATAGTCCCAGTTTGTGCATAATTTATCTTCCTTGCAAACTCTGGCTTGAAATTCAAGCAAAAAAAATTGCTAAGCATTAGCTGCTTTGGGAAGTCCTCTCCTTTATCGGGAGAAAGGAGGGGTATAAATAAAATGAAGGAATGAATGCAGGAATGTCTCACACTCTGGCGGCTTGTATGGTTTCTCTCCCGAATGTACCCTCTGATGACTCACAAGGTCAACTTTACGAACAAAACATTTCCCACACTCCAGACATCTGTTTGGCTTCTCTCCTGTATGGATTTTTTCATGCACGGTGAGGTCTGACCTGTGAGCGAAACATTTGCCACACTCCTGACATTTGTATGGTTTTTCCCCTGTGTGAACTCTTTGATGCTTCATTAGGTTTGAACTATGAGCAAAACATTTGCCACACTCCAGGCATTTGTACGGTTTTTCCCCTGAGTGGACTCTCTCGTGGCTCCCAAGGTCTTTCTTCCGCACAAAATATTTTCCACAGTCCTGGCATTTGTAGGGTTTCTCTCCTGTGTGGACTCTCTCATGACACACAAGATCTGCCCTGCGAACAAAACACTTCACACACTCCTGGCATTTGAAGGGTTTCTCTCCTGTATGGACTCTCTGGTGAGTCCTAAGGTCTGACCCATGAGCAAAACTTTTTCCACACTCCTGGCAATGGTAGGGTTTCTCTCCTGTATGGACTCTTTGATGCATCAAAAGGTTTGAATTCCGAGTAAAACATTTTCCACATTCCTTACATTTGTATGGCTTCTCTGTCGCATGTACAGTCTGATGAGTCAGAAGGTGAGAATTCTGAGTAAAACATTTCCCACACTCCTGGCATTTGTATGGTTTCTCTCCTGTATGGATTCTGTGATGCATTAAGAGCGTTGAATTCCGAGTAAAACATTTCCCACACTGTTGACACTTGTACGGTTTCTCTCCTGGATGGTCTCGTGAGTTGCTCATAAGACACAACTTGAAATCGCTCTTTGGATGCACATCGGCCTTCTTTTCCGAATAATATTTACCACATATGAGGCACTCATAGAGGTTCTCTCTGACATTTCTTTCCTCTTTTCCATGGGTTGTTTCGTGTCTGGCAAGGTTCAATCGAGGCATAAAAGAACCGCCACAATTCCTACATAAATATGATTTTCTCCAGTTATCTATGAAGAAAAAGGAGAAGTGCAGACATGATTGAACATGAAACGTACGAGTAAAGGAACCTCAGGGAGCAGAAAGGGGTCTATGATGCTTTAGACGTTTCACGATTTTATTGTACTATCTGTGATCAGAAAATTGAATCAGTGAAGCTACCTTATATGCTTTTATTTAATCCATAGTTTATGTATAAAAAATCACTAAGATTTTAATAACTTCTAATCATAAATGATAATATATGAAGGAGATATTTTAAATCTAAAGATTACATCTAAATCTAATGAGTACAATTCATAGCCTTAAGCAACTATAACATTGACACATATCAAAAAATAAAAATGAATTTATCTTACCCAACAGAATTAAACCACCCTGCAAACATTTATTTGGCTGTTGTTCATAGTGCTTCCCCACTTTTCCTGGTACCTCTTTCTTAAATTATTTAATTATTACATGATACCATTGATAGTATGGTATCATGTAATAATTGGTATGGAAATCTACTCTAAGCAGCATAAAAAGATTAACCAGGCCACCCGACAAAACCAATTTAAAAAAATACCTACCTAAACATATCTAAATAAGGGGCCACCATGAGATTCAGAAAGCTGGACTAGATGGGCTCTTGGCCTGATCCAGGAGAGCACTTCTTATGTTCTTATGTTATGTACGGTATGTGTATCGCAATGCCTGGAATCTAGTTTCTCTAACTCCTATCTGCCACTATCATACTACTGTTGACACAAAAGGTAAAACATGTCCCACACTTCTGACACTTGTACGGTTTCTCTCCCAGATGGTCTTGTGAGTTGCTCATAAGACACAACTTGAAATCACTCTCTGGATACACATAGACACTTTTGAATCAATCTCTATAGCCTTTCTTGGTGGCTCCATGCGTGTCCAGTGGTGACTTCATGTTGTAAATGTACCAGAAGGGGAGCTGCCATGGTGTTTTCTGGGAGTTGTTGTCTCCTTGTGCTTCAGCCTCTAGAGAGGGTGCCCATGGCCAAAATCCTATTCCGAATTAGGGAGAAATCCCTCCTCGACACCCCTTATCACAGGGGGAGGGGAACCTTTGGACTCCTACATTTTGACAAACTACTCTCCTCAGGCCTCAAGCCTCTCTAACAGTTCCTTACAGCATTGGTCCCCAACCGAGGGCCTCCAGATGTTCTTGAACTTCAACTCCCGGAAATTCTGGCCAGCAGAGATGGTGGTGAAGGCTTCTGGGAGTTGTAGTCCAAGAACATCTGGAGGCCCAAGGTTGGGGATCACTGCTTTCAAGGAACGGCCCGTGGGTGGTGTGAGCTGGGACACTGCTCAGAGCCACCTTTTCTGTGTTTATGGTTCTTCATCTTCTTGTGTTTCTAAGGAGATAATCATCACCATTTGGGGAAGGAAGGAGCCTTACCGAGAGATGTCACAATCCTGGCATTCTCCTCCATGACCTCCCTGTGTAGGGCCCTCTGGTCAGGATCCAGCAGTGCCCACTCCTCCTGGGTGAAACACACGGCCACCTCTTCAAAGGTCACTGGATCCTAAATAAAAAAGAAAGGTTTTCCTCGTGGCTCACACAAAGTCAATCTCCTAGCAAGAGTCTTTTTAAACTGCTCTGAGGTATTGACTGTTTTCAGACATCAAGATCTTTTTGTCTGATCAGGAAATGTGTTCATTGTTATTTTTAAAATTATTTATCAATATTCAACAGGCAAAAAGTAATACATCCTGCTATTCCAGCACAGAAACTACCACATTATATCTGTCTCCTACAGAGGGCCTAAAGCCAAGGAACATTATTTGGGTGGAAAAGAAGCTGCAACTCTAATTAAGGGCCAATGTAGCTGCATACACAGATATTCAAACTCAGCTGTTTAAAAAATTAAGGACTGAAACACCTAGCTCTGGATGGACTCAAACACTGTCACTGTCATTGTCTTTCCCGCTCATACATGAAGAAATATATGTGGCTTTCTAGAACTTCTCATCAAAAACAAAGAGGGCCCTATTTCTTCTCTTCCTTCTCAGAGAAAGCAGCTGAGGACAGAAGCAGGCCTGGTCTTCTCCGTGTCTCTTCCTCCTACCTGATGTGATTTCTCTCCGTCACCAAGAAGGGGTAACTGAATCCTTGTGGCTAGCTTGGTTTGGTTCCCTGTGGGAGAAAGAAGGGTGTGGAAAGCCAGCCCATCACTTGTCTCAAACATGGAGACTAGGTAAAGAGGACAATTTCTTTTCTAATAAAACCAACTATACCACAGAAACGATCACAATTAAGTAAGTACCACAGAACTGCTAATATCAGCAAAGGATACAGTTAAAAACAATGCAAAAGGTCTGTTTAGACACCATCGGCTAAGCTAATAAGATGTTTTCACTTCCTTCTTAAGCAAAGTCAGACACAGACTGCATCTTGGAAAGAGCATTGCACAATCTGAGTGTTACTCAGAAGAAAGCTTGTTCCTCTGTTCTTCTTGGGCAGGCCAACATCCAGTTAGATGAGTCACAAGACAGCCAATCGCTTAGAAAGCCAGGGTCCTAGTCCTTTAGAGCTTTAAAATTAGATGATGATGATGATGATGATGATGATGATGATGATGATGATGATGATGATGACCTGCACAGCTAGAAGGGACTGTATGGTTCTTTGTGTCCAGGCCTTGCCTAGGAGGCACAGTGGGGAATCAAACTCTCATTCTCTGCCTCTAAAGCCAGAGTCCTAAAATACTAACATCTCTGCCAGTCAGCCAATATTGACATCTTGAATTAGAGACAGGAGGCAAATGGCAGACCAACCTTTATACCTACAAAGTAATCTCGTCGGATAGCATCTCCAAATTCATAGAACTGCATTGTCAGAGCTTTGGCATCGTGGTTAGGAGGCTGGACTGGGATGTAGGAGATTCCAGATTCCAGTCTCCACTAAACGATTAGGCTCACTGGGTGACCTTGTACAGAGCGAGAATCCTGTTACCTCGCCTAACCATCCTCAGAGAGGCGATCCTCTGAGTAGAAAATGTTTACGAGAAGATTTGTAAGTATCATGAGCATTACTTGAGCAATTATAAGGCCAGAAATATAATATTTAAAGAAACAGACAAGCAATAAAAATCTGAATACATGCAGGTATCAAGATCTCTTACTTTGCTACTTGTTCTTTTTGGTGTTTTGTTTGGGTGAGGGGCATATCTCCTCCTATCATCTACTATCCACAAATCAAAGAATTTATTTCCACAAATAAAGCCTCCAAAGTGTAAACACTTAAACCATTGGAAAGCATGGAGACAAGGCCCTTGCTTGCCACTATCCACCCCCATCTCCGCAAAGAGCTTCCCAACAACCAACAGGAACAGCAGCCCAAAGGTAGGACCATCAGGGAGGACCATCCAGTTGAAGTGCAGACTGCCCCCCAGGATCCGTCCTTCCTTACCCTGAGTGTCGGCACCTCCACTCCCACCCTGCCTGATCGCCTCTTGCAGCAGACTCTGCCTGGCGTCCCCAGGGGCCTCCTCTGCCTCAGAGGAAGAAGACTGAACTTGACACAAGGTCTCTTGAGCCTGAAGGAGGAAGGAAGATTCAAGATAAGGAACAAGCAGCAGCAATAACTGG